TTATAAAGTTTAATAAGTATAGTCTTTATTTTATATAGGGCTTATATAAAGTTTATAAAGTTTAATGAAATATAATTAGCGGTTACTTTAGTGTTTATTTATATTATAATATTATAGCCTATAATTATTACTTTAATTATAAGCTTAATTTTATTTTATTATTTTATTACTTTAAGTATAATTTAATTAATATATATTTTAATTTAAATTTTATTATTTATTTATTAATTATATTTCTTATATTAATAATATCTTTCCTATAAAATATTATTTATAGTAAGCTTATAGTATTATTTAATATTTTTTTAGCTAGCTTTATTTTTACTATTCTATTATATACCTTTAATATAGGTTTTAAAGTTATACCCTTAACTTTTAAGGTTATAAATAGCTATATAAAGTAATTATTTATAATTATAGTAGTTTATATACTATTTTATATTATAAAATATAAAATTATTTTACTTATATTATAAGGGCTTATATTACTTATATTATTTTAATATTTTTTAAATTATATAGTTTATATAAAAGAGTTTTATATAATATTTTTAATTTTTTTTTTTATAATATTTAAAGAATAAGTTTTCTTAATTTAGTTATATTTATTCTTATTTTAAGAATTAATCTTAGGTTATAATAAGATAGCAGATATATTATATTTTTAATTTTAATTAAGTAAGTCTTAGTAATAATATTACTAATATAAGCATTAATACTTAGGTTATTTATAAAGTAAGTACTATAGTTTTATTAATAATTATATTATTATTTTCTTTTAAGTATTAAACTTATATAAGTATATTATTAATTATCCTATTAATTTATTAAGTTTTTACTATAGCTTTAAATATAAGGAGATTTTAATTAATAATATTATTATTTTTAATTTTTTATTTTTTAATTATAGCTAAGGTAGCTTTCTTATATTTTAAGTAATATTTATTATTCTTACTATCCTTATATATATAGCACTAATTATTATAATAGGCGGTTTAGTGTATAGCATTATAGTTAATAAATTTTTTATAAATTCCTATATAATTTTATTATTAAATATTCTTATATAGTTAATGTGGCTTAGGATAGTTTTTTAAGATATAGTTACTTAATTTATTATAATTAAAGCACTTAATCTTATACTATTTAATAGTATTTAAGTTTATTAATTTAAAGTAAGTTAAGTTATTAAATTAAGTATTACTATTTTATTATTATTTCTTTTAATTTATTTAATAATTTTTATTATATTATTCTTATATTTTATAATTTTTATTAATATTTTTTTTTAAGTAAAGTTTATATAGTAAGTTATTTATATTAATAGCTTTTTATTAAAACTAAGCTAAGGAAGTTTTTTTTTTTTAATACTTATAGATTTTTTCCTTAACCTTATACTTAAGCCTATTATAAAAGATTTTCTTAAGAGGTTTATTATCCTATTTAAGTTAAGTAGCTAATTTATTAAATTTAATAATATAAATAAAGTATTTTCTTTATTATTTAAGCTTAGCTAGCTTATTTTTTAAAATGTATTATTCTTTTAAGTTTAAGAATATTTTAGTAAGCCTTTTTTTAAATATTTTATAACTTAAATATATTTTAGTAGTATTATTATTCTTAGTGCCCTTTAGCTTATTAGTTTTATAGTCTTTTAAAATAGGTTAAAATTAATTTTATATAGTTCCTTTTAAGTAAGTTATAGTAAAGGCGACCTTAAATTTTTCCTTTTTTAAAGTTTTAAGGAAGTAATGTAAATAATATTATATATTTATAATAAAGGGGTAAAGCTCTTTAAGTTTCTTAATAAAGGGTCTTAGTTACTTAAGCTTTAGGATTTCTCTTTCTTTTTTATTTAATTATTCTTTTATTTTATTTTTAATTATAATAGGTTCCTTTTTTTTATTAATAAGCTTATTAAAGTATATATTTTATTTATATAAATCTTAAAGGTATTATTTAAGGTTATTAGGTCTAAGCTATTTTTAATTAGGTTCCTTTATAATAATATCTTTATTATTATTAATAATATTTTAAATAGCTGCCTTAAGGTTAGCGGAGGATCTTACTTTATTACTTATTTTTATTATTACTTAATTATTAAATATAGTATTTATTTAAATAAGAGTTATTAATGTATAATAATTTATTTCCTAGGTCTTAGGTTATTGTTATAGGGTAAGGGATTCCTAAGGGATAAATGCCTGTGTTTATATTAGCAGATAAGATAGGATATTTATTATTAAGTATATTATATAATTACTTTAATTAGTAAATAAAGTTTAACTTATATTTAATACTATTATATTATTAATAATTAATTATTTAAGCTATTTAATAAATATATTTTATTTAACTTATATAATAAGTTATTTTATAAAGGTAATTATAAGCATTATTGCCTTCTATTGCCTTTTTCCTATAGAGCGCCTAAGAGCAATAGCGCTTATTATCGCTCTTTATATAATTAGCCCGTTAGTCTATACCTAATCTATAGTATATACCATTATATCTATTAGGTTATAATATAATTACTTATAGGTCTATAGAACTCCTTAGACCTTATTATTATTATTTAATTTAATATAGTAACATAAGTTAGCTTTCTTAAGCTCCTTAATTTAAGCTTAAGTTATAAATAAGCTATTAAGTGCCTTTATTTAAAGTTTTTATTTATTATTATAAATATTTAATTAATAAAAGTATATAAGCTCCTTAATGCTCTTTTAAAGGATTTAGGCTATTTCCTTAGCTAATAGGGCTTAGTGCCTTACTAAGTCTCTTTTTTATTACTGCTAAGTAAGTATTTATTATTAATATATTATATAAGCTAATGGGTTAAAGGTTAATGGGTAATTATAGTCTTTATAGTTTACGCAGTATAATTACTTTTAGTTAGCTTATTTAATAGCTAAGGCTATAATCTTATAGGGATAACTTATCCTTTAAGTTAAGCTTTATTAAATTTTAATACTTAAAGAAGCTTAGCTGCTAGTGCAGTTATAAATAAGGGCGCAATATATTAAAACTCTCTCCCTATTAATAACCTAAGGGTTAAAGCTACGCTTAGTATAAAGGGCGAGGCTATTTTTATAATAAAAGGTTTATAAAAATATAAAAAGCTTATTAAATAAGTTATATAGCGCTAATAGCAGCGGGATAAGAATAAGATACTTTAAAAGTTACTCTATAGCCTTATTTAATAACTTTATAACCTTAAGAGATTACTAAGAAGCTTTTATTATATATAAGGGCGGCAGTATTAATACTTACTTACTATATAAAGGCAGCGGTAATAGAGTTTTATCTTTAAGTATTATAGCTAAGTCTTTATTATTTTTATTATTAAATTAGTAGAACGCTGGCTACTTTATAATATTAAAGCTAACTTTATTAAAAGGGTTCTCTTCCGCTGCTGCTACTGCTGCTATTACCTCTGCCGCCTCCGCTATATCTACACCTAGAGGGGGATTTATTAAAGGATACGATTTTAATGCTAGGAATGTTAAAGTTACAATAATTAAGAAAATAAATAAAAAAAAAACTATTATTTAATAAAGTTATGGTATTATTATGTGCGCTATAGCATATGCCATAAACTCACACTATAAATAGGTATATAGTTATAGAAACGGTGGTATGGGCGTAAGAATTTTAGTATGGGCACAGACTACTACAGTTCAAATAGGAATATCCTACGGTGTAATTAATAGCACTCTTTGCAAAAAGCTCCAGTTAACATTTGCATTAGTTCACAGCAACAGCAATAGCAAGCAAGGTGATGCAATTGTTGGCAGATGACAGATCGACAATGGCAATACACAATCTTCATCAAACGCTGTTATTTTAGCCCGAGGCTATTGTTCGTCTTTGTGCACAAAACACCGTCCATTCATTCATCGCATACAATGAGCCCTGCACCCCTGTCTGCGCTTCACCAATAGCAGCACTTCCCAGCCAACCATTGGCCTCCAGCGCCTCACTCATGATGCAAAGCGCCCCTCCTCCGCCAAATAGCCCCAAAACCAAAACCTGATGCGTCCGTGAACAGATCTTCATCTCGGCCCTGCTTTTTTTTTTCCAAAAAGACCGCGATTGTCGCGCGGCTAGCCAATCCTAGCCGTTGCAGCTGTGGCAATTCATGCGGCAGGATGGGGTGTTTGGCCTTGTTTCTTCTTGGGCTGCCTCTCTGTTACGCGTATGACGAGCTCTGGGCCAATCCTTGAATAGCGAAGGGAAAAAGAAAACAGCTTGATTGTGAACATGGGCTATTTGTTGTCAAGAGTGGTGGAGTAACACGCTATCAAACGGCTTCGGGCTTGATTCACGCAATTATGACCAAGCCCAAAGTTAATTATATAGAGAGCATCGTCTGCCCTCCTCTTTTAAACAATTCTTATTTCTCTTCTTTACACGTTTCTCTCTTTTACTCCCTCTGAAGTGAATCCTGGTGATACATTCCATCTCTCTCTATCCCTCCATCGTTTTTATACCCTCTTTCTTTTCCTTTTTCCTTTCTCTCTTTCACACTCTCGTAATCATGGCTGCCTTGAAGAATTTCCTCGTCCTCATTCCCCTAATACTCTCCTTGGTCGCCTTTGTCCTGACAAACCTGGCGCTGTTTGCTGGCCACCAGCAGGGATTCATGGAAGACTATGCTGTCATTAGGGTGAGTCAAATCTGAGTGGCATATTCTCCAGATCAGAATGAATGTAGCTGACTCGCAAACAGCTCAATACATCCGAGCTTGGCCAAAACATCTTCAAAAATGCCAAATCGAGCAGCAGCAGTGACGACGACGACGACGACGATGATGATGACAGTATCTTCGACAAGATCAAAGGCAAGGTCCACGACCTTACGGACAAGGGCAAAGACAAGCTCAACGATATCGCCGGCGACATCATCGGAGACATTGCCGACGACCTCGGCATCAGCCAGTGGTACTCTGTTCATATCATGAATGCTTGCCAAGGTGAATTCGGAGCCAATGCAACGACTGCTCATTTCAAGCTCAACACGACCAACTGCACTCATTCATCTCCCTCCAGTAAGTGTCCCGTCAGACAGATAGATGTCACCCGTGCCGTCTCTTTATCTCGATATCTTTACTGACTCACGTCTTTCTCTTAGACCGATTCAACCTCACGGAGATACTGGATCAGGAGCTCTCCATCGGGCCTCTTGACATCAGCCTCGCAGACATTGACTGGCCCGACTCTATCGAAGACAAGATCAGCGATCTCAACAACGCTTTACTCGCCCTCTTCATCTTCTTCGTTCTGGGCGTCGGCTTCAGCGGTCTCTCCATGCTAGCATGCATCCCGGCATTCCTCCTCGGAGACAAGAAGATCATCCTATTCATAAACACGGCTCTCGCATCGCTTGCTGCCGCTACCATCACGCTCGGCAGCATCGTCGTCACGGCGGCATCTTCCATCGCCGTCAATGCCATCAACAAGGCTGGCGAAAAGATTACTCTGGTGGCTACCAAAGGCACAAAGTTCTACATCATCTCTTGGATCGCTGCCATATTCATGATCATTACGAGCTTGTTCTGGATAGGCAAATTTGCGATGCTGTGGAAAAAGGAAAAGAGAGATCGCGAGCGCTACTCCAAGGAGAGGTTCTAAGCTCTCTCAACACTCACTGCTGCTTGTCGTTTTTGGAAAGATTGCCTTGTGCTGGCACCGGGATGAAGTCACGAATGATGGCAAGAAGTATTTAATAACAAATGCTTGGCTATGTAATTTTTTTTTTTTTCCTTTTCATACATTCACTACGGTTTGCCCGCTTATCAAGAGCTTGGGCCGGGGACGGTTGGGTAAAAAAAGGCGGAGGCGGCAAGGTCCAGGTTAAGAATGATCACACATGAGGGCAAACCTCGCTAATACGCCCATGAGGCGACGATCTCTGCAAAATATGAAGAAAATAGTACTTCATCCTTAATTGAATCTCGTTATACTTTATTTTTGAAGACTTCTCACCACGCTGTGTAGCAGTGTATCATATTCCAGATTGCTGTACATTTGTGCCCAACACTCGTCATGTCTTCCACCACTTGTTACTGAATGAGCATCCAAACGCTCCAGCCTCCACTCCATCACAAATTCGACACCCCAAACACACAATCTACAACCACTCATATCGCCCATGTCAAAAGCTTGGCTCTGCTTCAAAGCATAACTGGTTTAAACATGCCATCTGGCTCGTCCTATTTGTTATGCTTCATCTCTTCGCCCCACGCCAGATGCATTAGAGCCAGCGCCATCTGCGTCATGGCTTTCCTAATCTGGCAATGAGCGCTCCACGCTTCGCGCCAGCTCTTCCCACAATCAAGCGCTCGTGACACCCTCTCACTGATAAGGCTTCACCGCATGTCGTGTATCGTGAAGCATTTCAAAGTCCAAGTCCTTCTTCTCTTTAATTCTCCTCATTCACCTATTGAGGTTCTTAACAAGAGATACAATCTCCTTGTGCATCTTGTATTTGCTATCCATCACCATGAGCTCTGGCAAACGTCCAGATCTCTCCTCCTCGTCCCACGACATCGAAATCGGCGGCCCCAGCGAGACAGACTCACTTCTTGGCAAAGGCCGAACAAAGATGACGCGGTTCTTCCACGGCTTTGTCGATTTTGCGTTTCAGGGGAATATTCTCCAGATTGCATTTGGTTTAATGTAAGTGAGCTATTCTTCTCTATCCACTAATTTGACATGAAATGGAACATTACACGAATGACAAGAATGAAATTGAATACGCTATATGAATGAAAATCCCCTTCTCATCATTTTATAGCGTCGCCGCCGCCTTCACCGACCTCGTCAAATCCTTCGTCAGCGCAATCCTCATGCCGCCCATCGCCATCATCCTCCCCATCAACAAGAACATTGAAGAGAAATTCGCCGTCCTGCGCGCGGGTCCCAACTACAATTCCTCCTCGCCCAGCGGCGGCTACAACACGCTCAACCAGGCGCAGTCGGACGGCGCCGTCGTCATGGCGTACGGATCCTTTATCTATCAGATGGTGTCGTTTGTCATGGTTGGGTTTTCATTGTACGGGCTGGCGCATGTGTATACGCTGCTGTCGCATGATCCGATAATCAAGTATTCGAGGAAGTGTCCGTATTGCTTGAAGAGGATTAATGAAAAGGTGTGTCTTTCTTTCCTTTTTTTTTTAAAAATAGTCTCATTGGAAAACTGATAGTAACAATATGATCATTTTAGTCTCGCCGGTGTGTTAATTGCAGCAGCTGGCTCGACGGCAGAGAAGATCTGCCGCAACCCGAATTCCGAGAATCTTCAGCGAGTGATTCATGATAGCTGGAAATCTAGCTAAATAAAACAACCAAGACTGGCATTACACGTAATTCCCCGGCCAGCTCACCCCAGTCGACGATCCTCCACCCCGACCCTCGTCCTGAAGGCTCATTCTCTCAACATCGAATTTCCTCGGATGGAGAATCTTGACAACGGGCTTGTTATACACTGCGGCAGCTGCCAAAACAGCCATCAGAGTGATGATGATTGCGACGCTACAGACAGCATATAGCAGGCATAAGACATCGACGCCATTGATGACCAAGCGGCGATTGGAGCTATGAGGCGCGAAGTCCATGGTGGTAGTCAATTCGGATTAAAAGAGCTTGTAGAAATGCAATAGTCGATCGATCGAGAGGCTTTGATTAGTAAATTGATGACGAGAGTGATGATTGAATCTCGAATTCTGGCGCGTGTTGGAAGAGAGACATAAATGACTGATGAAAAGCTGGAGGGCGGCTCAAGAAGTCGCGATTGTGTTCAAAGACTGGAAGGTTACATGTCTGTTTCAGTTGTTCAGTAGTAAGATAAAGAGTAGCCGTTCAGACAAGATGGTAAAACAATGCGCCTTGTCGCCTTTCATTCTAACATGATAAGTTATCGCTAAATAAGAAGAAAAAATATGCTCTCCATTGTCGAATCTCTTGTATCTTCACATGCATTGCCACGTAATATCTCAAGACGTCAAAGAGTAAAAACAAAACTGCTTTGTACAAAGCCTCATGAAAAGTACAACAACCCACATTATGTTTCAATCCTCCGAAATGGTTCTCTCTACCCGCTTCCCTCAACAAGCCTTTTTTTTATCCGTTTACAGCATCATGGCACCACCAACAAAGGCGGCGACACCAGCCAGCAGACCGTTCTGGCTGTTCACAATGCCGGCAGCGTTGGTGCTGGTGGGCTTGCCGGTGCTGGAACCGGTCTGAGTTCCGGTTGAAGTGTGCTTAGCAAGAGTCGTCTGTGAGGGTCCGGTGGAAGAAGCATCAGTGCTGGCGGGGGCAGTGGTTGAGGCATCTGTGGCCGTGGAGCCAGGGGCAGCCTTGAGCTTCTCGAGACCAGCGGTGATGGTAACAGGAGTCTGGACGTCAAGGAAAGTCATGGTGGTGGCCGAGGTGGTGGAAGTGACGGCGCCGGTGAAGGTCGCGGTCATGTACATGGTGCAGTCGGCGTTATCGGCCTTGGTGTTGAGCTTGCACTCGCCTCCTTGGACTTCAGAGCCTGAAAGGCTGTAGAGTTGTCAGCTTGGATTCTTCAATATGTATGTGAAACCAGTTGGTTATGATATAGATAGTGATGCTGAAGATGGCCACTTGAGTCTCATTGGAATATAGACTCTCGTTGAAACACATCACCAGCAGCGCTGGAGGGCAGTTACAAGCACTTACTCAGTCTCATCAGCAGGGTCGGCGCTGAAGGTTGCTGAGTAGATCCAGGTGGACGGGCCCTGAGTGATGGTCTGGCTGGCAGCGAAGCCGCAGTCGCTGCCGTCCTCTCCCTTGGGGCAGCCAACGAGGTAAGTGGTGGCCGTGCTGTCGGCACCGATGATTGAGGCGTCGATGGTTTGGATATCTGCATAGGGCAGCAGGAGAGCGACGGTGGTGGACTGAGCGGCCAGAGCGCCGCTGGCCAGGGCGAGAAGAGCGAGTGAACGGGCCATTGTTGGTTTTAAACGAGAGTGCTAGTTGCTTCGGTTAACTTGTTGTCGTAGTCGGTGTGTTGGTTGTCAACGAACGAACGAATGATATTGCAACCAGTTGTCGAAAAATGAGCGTATAGACTTGGAAAGCGGGAATAAAGGTAAAAGCAGACGGTGTCTGCTTTTAAGCCCAACTTGACCTCAGATTCATGTCCAAAAGGCCCAGACTTTCGCGTCTCCTTTTCCCCATCGAAGGAAGCGCTGGGTAAATGCTAGTCTCGGCGATTGACATATCCAGTTAGTAGATCGAATCAAGGCCATTTTAAAATTAGTGCTGCCAGACGATTCTTCGCCTCTCACGATCCTTAGCGCAAGGGCGGTCGATTTGGGGACGCCCGTTATGGATAAATGTCAACATGAGATGGAAAACTGGGAAATCAGACGGAAAAGCTGCATCCAGTGTAAGTCGGTTGCTGGCTCTCGCCTCAATACGATAGAGTTTTTGAGTTTACCTCGTTGCAGGCTTCCGATGCCGATCTTCGACAACTGAATAAAGTCTGCATGGATGTGTCGGAAGTTTGGGGGGCCTTTTGCCTGTACCCCTGGCTAGCGGTTGAGTTTGGCGGGAGGCGGCATTAGAGAGGCGTAACGACCCAGTCTTTTTTTCTATTTTTCCTCGTGTTTTCGTCTTCTTCTGCCGTGTCTCTCCATGGCCGGGGCGCAGCTTCATTAGCGGGGAGGCGGTTTGAAGTCTAGTCTTTCGGCGAATTACTACTGTATTGTCAAGCATAATGATCTGCTATAATTAGTTGATGCAAAGTGCCCGCTAGCAATGGGCACTCCGAATTGACTTGCAATACCTAGTATTTATGGACGAATGCCGGCCTCGGCTCCGTATTGAAAGCCCGCCATGTTCACGTTGTCAGATGAGTGGCTTCGTATCTTGGGAGAGATCGCATTAAGCATACATCTATCTTTGAAAGAAGGCAAGGCAGACGCCAATGGCTGCTATTGTCGGAGTGAAAAGGCTGTCCGAGGATTGGATTTTGCTACATTTTGGCGAATAGCAAAAAGGCGTTCGCTTAGCGGGAACATGACACTCATCGTGTAACCCCGTCTGAAACGAGCACAGGTGTTATTCCCGGTTTGAGATGTCTGCACCGATTAGGTGTAGAAGGCTGACATGTTTAAATCAACCTGCAAACTCATACGCTGCTTGTCGTCTTGTATCAGATGCTGGACAATCAGATGATGGGACTTGCATGCACACACTGGCTGTAGAGCCAACGGAGAGTCCCGTGCCGTCCAGAGCTTGAACCAGCCGCCGATCTCTCCTGTTTGATGGCATACTATAGACCAGTAGCAGCAGACCTATGCATGCAATCCATGCCTTGTGACATTCAGAGCTCTCTAGCCTCTAGGCGCGTCTGCAGGGCTTTTGCCGAGTGCTACCCAAATAGGAGATTGGCTTACTTGCCATTGAAAACTGCCCGCTTGGGAGATCCTAGTAGTACAGTAGCGATCGAATTGAGTGTCCGCTTTTGCCAATGAAAAGTTTCTCTCCGCAGCAGGCCATTTTGCAATCTGTGGCTGGTACAGTGCGAATCTTCTCCCATCATCATGTACTCTCCTATGGCGGTCCTAAGAGTTCCGTCCGTTTTTGGCTTCTAGAAAGCTTGAAGTAGCACACAGCAAATTTTACAACTTCTATAGAGCATATACTCAACTATTCCACTAAGCTAGTACTAATTAACAAGTTGGTAATGTTGACTAACTGCACCCAAGCCATCTTTAGAATAGAGGGCAAGGAAATGGGTTTGGTTAAGGGTATAAAGCCCAGGCCAGTGCGAACGGGCATCACCCGTGACAGTAGCTGGGCCCCATGTTTGACCTCCGTCTATACTAGTAACAACTTTCATCTGGGCTCCGTCATAACCGCTGCCAGGGATTCCGGCCACATCCTCATCTGTCATAAAGCTTGTGATAAGAGTGCCACCGACATTAATAACTTGGGGAGCTCCGGCACCGGCCCCGTTTCTTGCTGTGTATAAGCGCCCTCGCTGTCCCCAAGAGTTACCATCGTCATGAGATAGAACATAGTCAACGGTAAAGGGACCGGATTCCGTATTCTCAAAAACAGCACTAGAATTTTAAGTAATATCATTAGATCATAAGCATACTGGAATTCCCAAACAGGGAGGGGTAAATAGCTTACATTAAGTTACCAGAGTTATCAATGTTTGCAACCCCGATCATTCCATCGCGTGACGTGCGGTCACCTCCAGAGATCTTAGTCCAGCCCGACCAAGTCAGTCCGCCATCAGTCGAACGTTTCATATAACCATCCTGATCTACTGCACTATTCTCGGCGGAATAGTAACATTGCAGTGACCCGTCCGCGGCGATACGTAGAAAAGGTTCCCAGAGTCCATTAGGGTTATTTGGAGTAGCTGCTTGCTGCTCTATGGTTGATCCATAAAGAAAGGTCTTACCGCCGTCATCAGAATAACATAGAGTTAGTCGGTAGTATGTAAAAGTGTTTCCTGTACGGTCATGGTTGCGGAAGGCGTATACAATACGCCCACTGGGAAGCTGCAAAGGCATAGCGTTATCAACATCATGCGTAGATGTATCAACACGCCAGACTTCACCAACAAAGTACCACGAAGAACCACCATTGTCAGATTGAGCAAGACGAAGAATACTCTGGCCGTTTTCATGCGCAGTATAACCAGCTATTAAACCTCCATTTTTAAGGCTTGCCCGGATGTAAATGCCATTCGCATCAATAACGACTGGTGAGCCAGCCTGAACCACATTTCCAGGTGACCTTTGCTCAACGCTGGTAATAGGATTACTGAAAACCCCAACAGGAATAAGCAGAGCAAAAAATAGTTTATAGAGAAACATGACTGGTGATTATTAGTACATAAAGAGTAGAACAATGAAAGAAAGGCAGCTGTTATTTATAGTTTATGAAGATATATCTAAAGTAATAGAGGAAATTGATTTAAAGGGTGCCTCTATGATATAATCCTGCAGCTTTCCATTCCTAGTATAGCCTAGCAATAATCCCCGCTAAAGGATGCTCACTTATGCTCCTTTCAATTCTTTTAGGAAGCTCGAGAGCTTTTGAACTGGCTATTTCATAAGAAGAAAACGTTTTCTCCAAAAATATTGCGTGTTGTTGTTTCTGCAAGCCACCACTCGGACCGAATACTACATATTGGCGTGCTGGTTTAGGGTTTAAAGTAAAGGAGACGGAAGTTATACCTTGAATATTCTTCGCGAACACTTGCCTTGTGAGGGACCACGATATTTTTCGCGAACACCTGCCTTGTGAGGGACCACGATATTCTTCGCGAACACTTACCTTATGAGCGATCACGATATTCTTCGCGAACACTTGCCTTGTGAGTGATCACGATGGAACAAAGGATCACAAACAAAGCAAAGCAGATAAGAACAAACACAACAACCAAAGGCATTAATACTCAAAGGTGCACTATATGACTGTAACTGGAAACTGTGATGGTAATGAAGAAGAGAAGAACTAAGCTAGCGACAGGCAGAGGAGGGAACCATAAGGCGTGCCGCACTGGATCACGTGACATGCCTCTAGCAGCTGGAAGATGACTTCTACTTTAAGACCATCACTATCCAGAATATGTTCCCAGCCTAGAATATGTACCAGAAACAGCCAGCAGAGTGCAAAGCTATGCCAAGAACCTCTATGCTATATTTACCAAGCATGGCTATTATATTGCCATAGTTAACTTATGTTTGGTCGCCTAAACTTGTGTGGCTGTTGGCAAAAAGGTGGTTTTCTGGGAGATCGCATGATTTAGTCGTACACATTCTCCAAAGTCTTGCCTGCAGCTTCGTCCTTAAAGGAAATTAGTCCTCCGCTGGCTCCTAAGCGCGGACAAATGCATCCGGGGCAAAAGCTCTTTACTTTATTACGCCTGTAATTATAGTAGAATATAGCTAGCCATTTTGTGTACTCGTTTTCTTTTTCTGAATGATGAAGTCTCTGTTTTGGGAACACATTGACAAAAGTAAAGAAGACTATGAGATTCTTTATATTAATAAGCTAGTATGAAAAGGAAAAACCCCGTATGGAGGAGGAACCTGGTTTACGCTATTCGCTTATAATAGTCTCGCTATAAGGCTAGAGAGGGCCTTAAGCATGTGTCTTAACAAGACAGGGCTTGCTTTATTGGTGTTTCTGTAGAGGCTGGCAGGATGTAAACCTGTGACCTTTTTCTCTGGATTAATTGTCTGCTTGACCACTGCGCTAAACAACCCCTACATAAATTATAAAGCTTGATCATAGTTATGTACTGTACCTTGCATGACGATATAGCTGAAAGATTTTCTATACATGCATTAATTGATGGCCTTGTCCTCAATGTGGCCTCGCCTGCATGCATAACGCGCACGCGAGAATTTAGCACTTACAGGTGATAAGAAAAGCCTATTCTAGGCGCTTCTTGGTATTGCTGCCTACCTCAGCAAATTGACATTACCATAAAGGTAATTTCCGGCTTGTAGTATGACCTTCGCTGAGGGTACGACCTGCTCGGGAGTTGCGCACGGTATCAGCCACAATGCGCCACATATTAGTCCGTGCGGAGAGAAACTCTACCTGAACAAAGCGGACACTCATTTCGGTCGCTGCTGTAATGATTTTCGCAATTCACCTACGATACCTCGGTATGCTTTAGATGCTTTAGGCAAATGCTATGCCGCCTACTGGCACCAAACTTTCTATAACTCGTCTTGGCAAAAGTCTTGGCAGCCCAATGGCTTGACTCACAGAGTCGCAGGAGCTTGGAAGCGACAATAGGCAAGAAATGCGTGGCCGCTTTTGCAAATGACGCCAAGACATTTGGCCGCTCTTTCCACCCCTTGCCTGCCGATAGCCCTTGTTTGCCATCGTTGATGTTTTTTGTTTGCGCCTATCTTGGTACAGTAGTAATTGCCTAGGTAGTAGGCCGAGTTTTATTGGGCGTGTAGAGTACCTACAGGTAGATGACTGTTGATGATACTATCCTCCAAGGCACAAAGATGCCATCTGCCGCCTCTTCTCGCCAAGAATCTTTCCCCAGCAATCTCCACGTCTTTTCAGATAAATCGTCCTGCTGACAACTCGTCGCATAATGCCCTTATCAGAGCCAAAATAACACCGCCGTCGTCATTCGTTCCACACAACCCAGCAATGCCAAGACCTCAGTACAAGTAGCGGCGCTCGCTCTAAACCAAATCCGCTACAGGCCTGGTTCCCAAGGAGAGAAAGAGCGTTTTTGACTCTTGGCATCGTGGGACCTTGAGTGTTTAGCATTTTGTTTCTCCCTTCATGCCTCCCTCCTCGTGCTTGTCTGGTCCGCGCTCGGGCTTGCTCCGGCCTGGATTCTGCTGCTCCTTGTGATTTTTGTCTTTTTTCCTTCTCCATGCCGCACATTTCGCCGCTGCAGCTCCTTCGCCCCAGCAGGTGACGACGACGAGGACATCCAGAATCCGATCGATACCCATAATCGGTCTTTCGAAAAAGCTCCGTGTCTACCAAGAGACGCGCAAACCCTCTCGACGGCATCCGAACCAGGAAACCCGCTGATCGCTTAGCCTCACCCGCCCATTTGGTTTTCCCAGAAGCGCCTTCACGAGGCTGCTGCCAGTTCGCAGACGAGATACAATCATGATCAGACTCGGCCTGAACTCATCCACCGCGCCATGGCTCGCCTTTCTGGTGCTGCTGCTCGCTCTTTATCCTGCCGATGCGACAGCGCATGGAGAATCTCCCCAAGCCAAGGCTGCGACGCCAACTGTGACGGCTGCTCCCATCTATCTGCCGTATTATGATGAGCGTTCGTGGTCGCTGGTCCGGGGGAGCATCATTTCAACAGTATGCATAGCCGCCGCTTTACACGTTTGGATTCAATTTATGCACCTGTTCCTTGCCTTGTGAAGAACAGCTACGCTATCCCAAGCAGTATTAACGTGACGTGCCCACTAGGATCCTTCGGCTAGTAGGACCACATACACCATCTTTTGCCCGACCCAGACGCCTCTAGCATGCGACTTGTCTCTTGAATTCCCCTTTGTCATCGTAGAAGGACCAGACACGCTCGAATTCCATGGAACCGTGACGTCGACATAGTGAGTCTACCTTGCGCTGGCAATCCGCTGGAGACAGTGAGGGTAGTATCAATAGGATTGTAGACTGACGTTTGATTAAAGCATTGCCGATGTGGAATGCGACTTGAACGGCACGACGGCAGCAACGTGTTCGGGTTACTCTAGCTACAAATCCGGTTACACCAACGGGCCTCACACTGGACCATCACAGGTTTCGTGGACGTCTACATTTACTGGCTCCGAAGTGCAGTGGGGAACCTTGACCTTGGCCGACTGTCCAGGGGCAACCGACGGTGCTGCTGATACTTCGGGGGTCATAGCGACGCCAACAGCTCCTTCGGGAATGATGTATGAGCCTTCGCCGACGTCGTTGGGATCGAATTTGCGGATACCCGAACTGCGGTCTCTCTACGGACTGGCGGCAAGCATCATCGCCATCTGTCTAGCATTATAGTGATGGCTGCTGCATTATGAAAGCCCGTTATCGGGCTTGCATGCGATCGTATCCAACGAAAAGGGATATGAGAAGGGCGTGTGGGCATTTACGAGGAAAGGCGGTGTCCTAGGAGTGCGTTGGGCCTCCTTGAGGCAAACAGAAAAAATTGATTGTTTTGGGAAGCGTTATGATTGCGTTATACCCTCTTTGCGTCTTGGTTTTCAGCGGAGCATATCACGGAGTTGCACACTTTCGATTTAATAGCGCGGAGTTTGGAGGCCATATACTAAGGATCTGGTTTATTGGGAGCTATACATAAGTCAAGATGGCTCGAGGATAAAATCAATAAACGAGCGACAGGAAAGTTGCCGCAGCATTTGACTCATGTGCCTCTTGCAGAACTCACCTCTATGAAACTCTCTGAAGCCTGTAGACATTGACCAGCCGACCACGATTGGCATGGATTTGCTGGTAACGCTGGTAAATGGTTTCTGTCTTGCGCAACACGGCTTCGACAACCTCGTCCATTATCGCCATGGCTGTCGACAAACTTCCGCTGCACGTTCTATCTACAAGCATGCCTTCATCGTAGACCACTCTCACAACACATCACTCAGGTTAGTATAGCCCAGCTTACTCGTGGCAATCACGTCAGCCGAATGGTATGGAGTAGTACTAACTTATTACTAAGTAAGGTTGAAGCCAAGTTGCCAACTCAGTAAGCTCGAGTGCTATGAAATATACCCCGGTCGGTTTGGGCAGATCTGAGCGTTTCATGTTTCACGTTCGGAGCCCCGTATTTCCACGAAGCGCTGCCATCCAATCCAGCGTCTGTACAGCGCCGATTGCCCAGGCACAGGCCTCCTGTTTGCCTTTTCTGCTATTGTCGCTGCTGATCCTATCATTCACTGCCTCTCCTTTTCTAAAGCCATTGTTTATTCCACTCTTTTGCCGCGCGGACCAGATGAAACACGCGCCCCCAGGGCTGTTCTTTTTTTAAGCTGAAGTGACTCGTTTAATAAAAGGGCTCTGATCGAAAGCAATCGCCACCTATTCGGGCTTAAGCAGGCGAGGAAGATTGAAACCCCAGATACGCAGCCCCCTGCAGCTGCGCTTGAATCGATTTGATTCTAGGCAAAATTCCCCCAAAAGGATGAGCGTTTCGCCTACCAGAAACTACAAGTAGATACTCTCTATTCGGACCTACCACCTATTAGGCGCTTTCAATGGGCCGGGGATTTTCACGGGGCATTGGCAGGCCTGGATGCCACCCTTTTATGGACTTTTTTTTTATAGATTGCCCTTGTGGACTTCCTTGTTTGGATAAACGCTGCTGTTTGGACGAAACAATCGGCGGCCGTAGACGGGAAAGGCTGATCTGCTACTGATCAATGCGTGGGACTTGCTATTTAGATGCAGGTCGAGTTACGTATTTAAATTCCCCTAGGCTGCCGTGTTCATTTCTTCCGCTCTTCCTTTTTTTTCTTGCTTCTGCGTTTTTCTATACCTTACAAAAGTCTTGACCTCTCGTTTCCTTCTTTTTCTTTGCTTCTCTTTTCGTTCTCAGGGCCTAGTCGCCTTTTTGTCACTTCTCGCGCTTCTCTCTTTTTTGCTGCCTCACTCTTTTTTTTTTACTCTTGACTTTCTTGCTGAAGTGGCGAGAGCTGTTTATTGGCTGGTCCCCCCTTCTTTTTATTGAGGATTGTGTGACTACGACGACCTATCGGTCTTTACTCGCCCCCTCTTGTTTTCTTGGCTTACTTTTGCTGCTGGACGCGTTGGGTCGTTCGGATTTTCTTCTTTTTGGCCACTCTTCCTATCTTCCAGGTTGAAGATACATTGGGCTACGGTTTTTTTTTTATTTGTATCAGATATATCACCGAAGCTGAGCTTTAGGACGACAAAAGCTGGATACATAAGCGATTGACTGACTATAACACGCACCGCACGGGAAACGGAAACCGACAAGATGAAGTTTATGAGAAGTGTCAATGCCGCTGCGGCTGCTAGTTCAGCCATGACAGCTCCCAGGTCGTTGGATGTTAAGAACTCAGGTGATTAATAACAATATAAATATAGTTCTCGATGGTCAACTAACATCATGACAGCCTCGGTTCGAAATGTCGCCGCTACTCTTGCCTTCGACACCATGTCCTATTACAAGGGCAACCTCTCTGCCACAGACTCTGTTAACATGGGAGATCTCCAAGATCCTTACTACTGGTGGACGGCTGGCGCACTCTGGGGATCGATGCTGGACTACTACCACTTCACCAACGACTCGACTTACAACGATGTTGTCATCCAGGCTCTGCTGGCGCCCACGAATCTCGGAGCCCAGCACGCTTATATGCCCTCGGAGCACGCCTTCGAAGAGGGCAACGACGATCTCTTCTTCTGGGGCTCAGCTGCCATCGCCGCCGCTGAGCGAAACTTTCCTCAGCCAAACGCAACACTGCCCTCGTGGCTGGACTTGGGAGCTAATGTCTTCAACCAGCTTGCGAGCCGCTGGAGCAACCAGCACTGCGGCGGCGGTCTCCTCTGGCAAATCTATGCCTCCAACCCGAATGGTCTGACTTACAAGAACAGCGTTAGCAACGGTGGCTTCTTTCAGATTGCCGCTCGGATGGCCCGCGCCACTGGCAACGACACGTATCTGGACTGGGCCGAGAAGGTTTGGGATTGGTCCATGGATATCGGCTTCATCGATCATGAGTCATTTCATGTCTACGACGGCGCGGGTATCGACACCAACTGCACCAAGACGAATGTCGCGTCCTTTACTTACACCAGCGGCATCTACCTGTACGGAGCCGCCATCATGGCAAACTACACAAAGAAGCCTGAATGGACTCAGAGAACCCAGCAACTTCTCGATGGTGTTGGGTGGTTCTTCACCCCGCCTAACGCCACAGCCAAGAATGTCATGTACGAAGGCGCCTGCGAAACCGTCGGTCGATGCGATGCCGATATGACCACGTTCAAGGCCTATCTCGCCCGCTTCATGTGGCAGACTACGCAAATGGTCCCTTCACTGCGTAGCAAAGTCGAGAGCCTTTTGATCCCTAGTGCCCAGGCTGCTGCTGCTACATGCACAGGAGGCTCAACTGGCCGCGCCTGCGGACAGAAGTGGTACACTGGCGAGTACGATAACATCCCTGGCCTGGGCCAAGAAATGAATGCGCTGGAGACGATTCAGGGGCTTTTGATTGACGGCGCTGCTCCGCCTCTGGAGGCCAAAGACATCAAGACGGTGCGAGACATCACCTGGGGTACTGCTAAGAGCGCCAAGGCGAGCGATGCATCAACACCGACGCCCTTGGAAACTGCCCGACGAGGCATTTCAGGGGATGCGAAGCCGACGAACTCTGCTGGTGTGCGAACGAACCTCGAGATGGGACCACTTGTGGTTGTTGGTCTCGGCATGTTGCTGGCGACTTGGGGGCTGGCTTGAAGCTGGTCTCTCCTTGAAGGGCCTTGATTCTTGTATATAGTGTACAATTGGTTTTGTAAATAATGTGCTGATAGAGTACATGTACGTATACACGTTCTCGAGAAACAGTAAGAGCACATGGGCGCTGCGTTGCGAATTGACGACTTTACTTCAAATATATGGATATAGAAATTTTATATCATTTGAGATCGCTTTTGACCATTTCCCTACTCTATGCTAGAATGGTATCTGTAATCATCTTTTTCCGTTTACCCCGTCTTGTCTTTTAACGCTATCCTCCCAGTTCCATTTCTAACAACGTCTACACTTTCATCTACGCTCTTACCTCTTCTAACGTCTTCTTCAGCGCTTCCAAAAATCTCGTCACTTCCTCTTCTGTGCCAACCGTGATTCTCAAGCATCCCAGGCATCCGTGCTCCTTTCCTCTGAATCGAACAACCACGCCCTTTGTCTCTGCAAGCTTCTCATACGCCGCCAGCGCAACGGCGTTATCCGGCTGGCCCTGCGCATTGAGCATCTCGAACAACAAAAAGTTGCTCTCCGTACCTCCGCGAAGACGGCCCACGCCGGGAATTGAAGCAATCTCCTTGATGATCCTGTCGCGCTGGGCAATGATCTTGGCCCTGTTGGACTCCATGACGGAGAGGCCCTGCGCGCTGACTGCGGAGTGGGCGAGGGCACTGGTCGGGCTGGAGATGTTGTACGGCGCTTTGAGGCTGTTGAGCAGCGTGGCAATGGGCGCGGGGGCAAAGGCGACGCCGAGACGGATGCCGGCCATGCCAAAGGCCTTGGAGAGGGTCTGCATGACGACGAGGTTGGGATACTCGGTCACCAGCTCGGCGAGGGAGGCGTTGTCGGGCGCAAAGTCGATGTAGGCCTCGTCAAGGACGATGACGCCGTTCCACGTCGGGTGGTTGAGCAGCGCGAGGACGTCGGCCTTGGCCAGCAGCGAGCCGGTGGGATTGCCCGGCGAGCAGAGATAGGCAATCTTGATGGACGGGTCGGCGGCCAGCGCGGCGGAGATGGCGGGCACGTCGAGGCCAAAGGTGGGCGCGGGCAGCAGCGGCACCTTGGCAATGGCAACGTCGTTGACCTGCGCGGAGACGGCGTACATGCCGTATGTCGGGGGACATGTCAGGATGCGGTCCTTGCCGGGGACGCAGAAGCAGCGCAGCAGGGCGTCAATGGCCTCGTCGCTGCCGACGCCGACGAAGAGGTTTGACGGGGTGAGGGTCTTTTTCGTGTGGGCGTGGGTGTTGCGCAGGGTGCAGAGGAGCTGTTTGAGGTCGAGCTGGTGAGGGTCTGGGTAGCGGTGGAGGCCGAGGGGATCGATGCCTTGGCCGTTGGTGTCATTTGATGATGAGGAGGAGGAGGAGTAGGCGGCTATGGAGGCTGCGTCGAGGGAGGGGCCAAAGGCGTTTTCGTTTGCGTCGAGGAGGATGTTTGTGCCGTCGTCTTTGTAGTCACTGTTTAGATATGTTAGCTATGCTGTGAGTTGTGTTGAGATTGAGGAGAGGAGGGTGATACTGACTCTCGAGCGCAACGGTAGGGTTGCAGGGCGAGGATGTTGGGTCGAGCGCAGGTCTCGAGGTTGAAGGGAGACATATTGGAGATTGTGCCTCTATGGATGCTTTGACTCAATTGACGATACTGAGGCTTTGTTGTGATAAAGACGGGAGGGTAGAAGGAATAAATAGCGAGAGTGATTGCGATGAGTCGAAGTTGAATCAGAACCGCGCGAGTCAAAAGTTATGAATCAGATAGCGATAAGCGGCCCCGACGCCGGAGATGGATGACAGGCGGTTTTTTGTGGGGCTGGCGGGAGTGGCTCCGGAGGGCGATCCGGAGAGCGGGTGGAAGCTTGGAGTAATAAGCCGGGAGTAAGTTCTTTTTGTATGAGAATATCGGAGAGGAGATGAGTCAATGAAGTGAGTTTTACTCAAGGAAAGAAGTTCGAGGAGTCACTTATTATTATGATAAGTGAGAAGAGACAAGACTGAACATGATGTCGGCATCAGAGACGCCTATAGCGCTGTTATTTAGTGTGAAAGCGCAGGTAGGCTTATGGCGCATATAGCCGACTTGATAGTTGTATAATGACTTAACATGAAGTCTATTCTTTCTAACAGATGAAAGTACTCGATACTATGTATTCGCAAACCATCGTGACAGCGTCTCTATCCTAACCATATTCCAAAAACGCCTAACCTAACATTGGTATCTAATTCATTACTTGGCTCATGACAAAAAGAAGCTGTTAAAAAAAAACGGGAAAAGTGGGAAACATGGTATAGAGTAACAACTTGAAAGCAACCCATTACAGATGATAGCCAAACAGGAACCAGCACCTCTTCCTCAAAAACAGACGGTGCACCAGGATCTTCCAGATGCTCATTGCGCATCCCAACCCACCAGCCAACAGCGGAATCAGCTGGCCAACCGTGCCGATCTCAGCAATTCCCACTCCATCGACGTCGTTGACCATGATGAGATGCTCCACCAAGTAGATGGATACACCGATCAAGGCCATCGACAGCACCAAGAGCACCAGCTCAACCCGCGGGCGGACCCTGTCTCTGCGCCCAAACCCATCCCGAAAGCCGTTTTTAAACCTCCTCGCCGTCGCATAGGCGCTGAAAAAGAGTAAACACACGCAAACCACAAGTCCCAAGACGGACACAACTTTCCCCAGCGTGCGGAACCATCCGTGGATAGTCACGCCGCGGAAAAAGGCAATGTCCGGGCAGCCCTCGATGGACATTACGTCTATGCCCTTGTACCAGAACCAGCAGCCGTACGCAGCGACGGCCGTGTAAAAGACGACGCGGAAGATGCCCGAAAAGTGGCTAAAGTGCTTGATGCCGTCGCCCGTCACGCTGGAGAGGGAGCCAAAGAGCAGATACTGCGTGATGATGGCGCCGACGACGGGGTCGCCCTGGCTGGACTGCGTGCAGAGGCCCAGGAAGATAGACCACTGGATGATGAGGTTGGCGATGCGGTACGTGCTCTCGGTCCTGGGGTCGAAGACGGTGACGAGGAGCGTGGCGACCCATTGGGCGTAGAGGCCGACGCGGACGCCGACGCCGTAGAGATCAGAGTTACCGCTGGGGCACTGAGTCGCCATGTTGGGCGATGATGGATGCGTGTGGTGTAGTAGGTATACGCTGAATATATTGTGGGTTGAGGATGATAGGATGAAGACAGAAAGAAGGAAGAGCAGATCAGAGGCAAACTGGAGGAACCAACGCTCTCACAAATTCTTCTTATACCACATCCAAAAAGCGCCAAATAACACGCGCTTACATGCAATATACTGCGCCAAAGGCAACACAAACTAGTATCAATCTTGGCCACGATTAAGTTGCGGATCCAGCCGCTAGATATGCGAGCAAGCCCAGCTCCAGGCCATTGACCCCAAGAAGCTCAGTCCCATCCATCCTAACGGGTGGCAGTGCTGCTCTTCTCACCAGACCTGCCTGCAGCTTTGCCTCGTCTTGGCAGATTCTCGCCCACAGTCACTAGCTCCAGTTGCATGCCCATCATGTTTTCAGCTCTGCAGACGCTAAACTCGATACCATCACCGCCCTGTGTCTCTCAAGCCGATCTCTACGAGCTTGAGACAGCCGCACAGAAACGACGTGTGGGTGGTGCAGGCCCGAACCGCCTCCGCCACGCAGAATAGTCCCACAGCTTGGGCCAATGGCGGTAATGGGCAAATGGGTTAGGCAGACCAGCGGACAGGGGTGGCGGAAGAGGAGGCCCTAGAGCAGTTGGTTTTTTGGCATTGCAGAGCTGCTGTCTCTCGCTCTCTTACTTGTTGTTTACAGCATGTGACGCATTGCTAGCTCGAACAGTCGTAGCTTTGCTGCAGCTGAAGCGAGAATCCGCAGCGGAGGGGAGGGTTAGTTGAGTCGGAAGAGGGCCAAAGTGAGGCTGAGAATGGAGGCCGCCTTGGGACGAGACATTGGGAATAGTGGTGCTTTTCTCTGGCACTACTAGGCGCCCGGGGCACACTCGCCTCACATGCAGGCCTCGAGTCCTGTGGAGAGGCTGCCTGGCCGGGTGGCTATGGCGGCAGGTTGCGTTGGCGATGTGCAACCAGGTACGGATATCTATGCGATGATAACATGGGGCCATGTCCACAGCATCGGGGGCTGCTGGGGTTGGGTCTCGTTGCATGGCCGATCCTAGGTCTCATCGTCTTTTCTTTCCATATAAGCCACGCTGGAGCCTGCTACAGCACCAAAAGATCGAGTAATTTCGACAAAACATTGAAACTTGAAACTCCGTTGCGGCCTCTTCTCCAGGCCAATACGACAGCATCGTACCCATGAACTCCACCATCACAGACTGCCCCGTCCAGGGCAACCCCGACCTCTACGGCCTGGGCATCCGCGTCGGCATCTACATCCAGATGATCACCGTCCAGCTCTCCGGCCTCGCCAGCGCCATCTTCAAGACCGAGGATTCCCTCGGCCAGGGCACAATCATCTTCGTCCTGGCCACCGGCATCGTCCTCATCAACCTCCTGCAGCAGGCCGCCGGCTCCTCCGTGCAGCCCGACGGCACCACCATCCTACAGCCGGTCGAGGTGTTTCCCATCCTCACGCTGCTGCTAGCCCAGGTGGGCGTCTGCCGCGTGCCGTACTGGAAGGGCCAGACGACGGCGCTCATCTACACGTTCGAGGTGGGCGGCCTGATTGCGCTGTTTGCCTGGTTCTGGTGGCATGGCATGGACACGCTGCCGCACACGTGCCACGACGACAAGGCCTTCTTCTTCGCCAAGGTGAGCATCTGGCATTGGTTCCGCACCCTTAACAAGGTGGGATCCGTGTTTGCCATTATCGGCGGAGTTGTCTCGGTCCTCTTTTACCTTGGAGGTATGTTTTCTTATGCGTGATTGAATGTACTTGGATGTGCTACTAACACACGCAACATAGCCATCATTCTATTCACCTTTGTGAGAGGAGTCAGCTTCGTCAAGAGATTCAACGACAAAAGCAGCGGCAGGTCCAAAGAGGACGACAACCCCATGAACTACGGGCCGCTCGATTTCCTGGTCAACATCGGCGCCATTGTGTACGTCGAGATGGCGCTCAAGTGGAATCACATCTCGGGCGTGCACAGCCTGGCCGCGCCGGGGCAGTTTATGCCCTTCTTCATTTCTTTGGCCCAGCTATTCAGCGTCTTTTACGGCTTTGGGTCGACGGCGCTGAATTTGGCTGCTGACGACGTGAGCTTTTCTGACTTGGGATTTGAAGGTGCGGCTTTCCTGCTTGATCAATCTTGTGAATCCATGAGTTTTCTTTACTGACATTGTTGATGGTAGATGAAGAAGACTTGAAATGTCCTCATGGGGATAATGCCAGTGGCGCAAGTGATCCCATTGAGATGAATGCTGTGGTTGTTGCGAGTGGAAAATAATAACAGCGATTGCGAGGTTCCAACCATGCACACACGCGACAAAAAGAAGGAAAAAAAATATATATAGTTCTCTTATACCCCTTTGACTTTTTATTGGAACAAATTTGGCGACCATTGGATCTGGAATTGGAATTGGAAGGTTTATGAATGGGACTGGGTGAAGCGATAGGTTATATGCATAGGATAGAACATGATGTTGATCTATACGTGGTGTGTGAATGTCATTTATATTTTCTCTCATGTCAATGTTGCTTTTTTTAGGGACAATAAGGAGCACGTGTTCATAGATAGCCTTCATCCATGCCGTATCCATTTGGTAATCTACTTGTAAATTGTAGAACAAAGCCATACACGCATCTCACATGGATCGTAGCAAGCAATCGAATAAAAGTTATCTATGTACAAGCTTTTCTTAAATATATACAACAGCTATTGACTGATTTAAAATATAGATCGAATTGAATATGTCCACTCGTCAACCTTTGCTTTACAAAGTTTCCACGACATCGCCACCAGCATAGACATGGTATGCATAATCGTAACGTTTCAGACAGCCAACGGCCGGGCTCTCTTTTTTCCAGCAGAACAGCTGCCAGTTGGTGGAGCGGTCCCCAGAGACTTCAGTTCAGTATCCGGGCCCGGGTTAGGGAATAACACATCTTTTCCCTCAAGAGTACCACAACCGTTGTTGACATTAGCAACAAACTGAGCGGGGCGGCTGCTGTAGGGATCAGACGGGCTGCGTTCGTCCAAGTCAAAGCCACTGCGGCCCAGGATTGTAACATGGGCGCAGTTCATATACATCTCTCGGTTGCCAATCTTGTTGAACCATGTCCAGGCGAAGAGGGCATCTCCGGCAGGCGTGTCGTTGGGGAGGGTAAAAGTCCACGAAGGCGTGAGAGGGCACGAGCCGATCCAAGAGTGGACAACTTTCCAGGTCTTGGCTTGGTCGTAGGACAGCGAAACTTGACAGCTGCCGCCTTCGTGTGTAGCAGAACCGGAGAGAGTAAAGTTGTAGGTGCCTCCGGCTTGCCAGGTAACGGTCGATTTGCCCTCGGGTTTGTTGAAGTCGACGTGATATCCTTTGCAAGGATAGTTGCTTCCGCTACCCAGGAGAGGGCTGGTCATGCTATAGTCTTTCAAGGACTCAGGCACGTTGGGGTTGAACTTGGAACGAAAGGCATATGGCCAGGTCAGTTCCATATGAGCCTGAGTTAGGGCAGCAAGGCCAAGGATAGAGACGAGCAGCTTCATTGTTGTAAAAAGCTTTAATAAACGTGTTCTAGAAGAAGCGTATGGGATTTCTTTTTTTGTCTTTTTGTCTCGAGGTGTCAGAGACTCTGGTGAGATGGACCAAGAGGAGAGCTGGAACGAGAGAGACAGGCGAGCTTTAAGTATCATTCGATGCTTGGTACCATACAATTTGGGGGGCACCAGTCTTATTCGGCGAACCTATCGAGTAAAACCTATTCAGAAAGATGTATTAGCCAGATATAGTCGCGCGGTTACATCGCGAGATTCTCTGCTTTTGTCACAGGCATGTTGCTGATGTTGCTCCATGAATAGCAGAGACATTACTTCGGGCTTTCGATACTACCATGCCCAGGCGCTACCATATTGCTTTCTTGGCATTGTGCAACGAGACAGGGGCGGGAACTTTGTACCAGGATAGTTGTGATATGTGTAATTGCTCAGGTGATCTTTTTAACGTCGGTCAAACAAAGACCAAATATAGTTACAACCGTCCAATAAGGAGCTTAATTCACTTACGGATGACGGCTTCATCTGTATGGAAGTGAAAAAGAAACATCTTGGTTTCACACAGATTGTCAGGGGGCTGAGATGCTTGTTGCGCATGTCCAGCCCCATTTACACACAGTATCTCTGCGTTTCTGTGACTAAATAGCTCCATATCCACGTACATTATATTGCCAGTTCTCCACGTTGCCCAAGCATGGAAATTGGTAGCATCGTAGTACCGTAACAGTCCTAATTGGAGTGCAACTGGCAATCAGCATTCGCAGGTGGGACGCGAGGGAGCGCAAAAGAGCAAGGCGCCAAGGCCGTCAGTTCAAGTTGCAAGATACGATTGTTTGATAGACCAGCATCATGCATAAGTAAATTGAGTAGATAGTGAATGTAACAATCATAGCCATCTCTAATCAATGCAATGAGCAACAAGTTGGGCTCCTCTTCGTGTCATCTAACGAGTAGCCTTGGTATTAGCCAAAATCACTCAGAGAAAGCACTCTACTGGGAAATGAAAATGCCAGGGTTGAGCGCCAAGGCTGTAGAATGTTTCTACACAGTTTTGCCGCGCATGAAACAAATAGAATAGGACCGCGCTGGAATCTGGAGCCTCGGACCGACAGTTACGATCCCACCAATCAGGAAGCCTTTTTCTGTCGCATATATAAATATGCATTTGACATGTACAGGGCCCATGCCCAAGTGCCTATCAATCAGCGCACTCTCCAAAGTTCCTATACGAAGCACCTACCTTTTTGACGCCTTTACGATATACGACAAGTAGAGATGAGAAAGACTACTATAATCTCAACTCATCTCGGCGTCTTGGCTGAGCATTTCATCATAATCTCATACGTTACAGAATCTAAGAGGGTGGGATATATGAAAGACGGTACGTCTACTGCTGTCCTTGGCGGATATGTGTCGCGCAGCTTGTGATGGTCTTTGATCCATATCGAGCACGACGCTGTGGTTTCTAAGATAACGGCTTGTGTGGAAAGCACCTTTGGCTACGTGTAGGTTGTATCACAAAACTCCCTTGGACATCGCAACAAGCGATAGCCGGCCTGCCTAATATAGAAAGAAGCTTGAAATTTAGAAACCGACTATCGATGCCCAGCCGCGCTATTTTCTTGTTTTGCCATGCGCGCCAAGAATGCTAAATTCGTTTGAGACGTCTGAGACGCATGTCTTTCACGTCTTCCGACCGCTCTTGTAACGTTAACTTTAAAACGCCTCTGGACGCCGCTCTAGCCTACATATAGCAGCTGGGACAGAAGCGGTATTTTATCTACTTCCTGTGAGGGGATCAAATTGAAGCTCGAGCATTACATCTTGCGTGACTGTCTTGGCGCTGGTGAGTGTTGGTATCTTTTTGTGTCGTAGTCTTGGAAAGAAGACGACTGTGCCGGGGATATATATCACAAACTGACCAAAACCGACGTGAGAACCGAGAGAGCGTAACAAAAGGTGACAGCAATATTGATATCGTTTCAGGCCCAGTGATATTGGTAAATAAACTCTTTCCACTTCAATGCTTATTCTGAATAGGGTGTCGAGTATAGCTAAGCACAAAATGCAGTCTCCACACGTCGTTCTATCCAAAGCAAAGTACAAAACTTTCCATACCACATAAACTTATTGACTCCCATCAGCGATAGCCAAAGGTTGATCTAGCGTAGTCTGAAAGCTCTACAGCCAACGGACTACCTTACTTGGAGTTGCAGAGCCAGTATGGCAAACCCCAAAAGCAGGCTGACAGCCCGAGCCGCAGAAGCGGGTGTTATTGCCGCAAAGCCCGTCGGCACTACAGCAGTTTGGAGGTTCGCAAATGTTTTCTTCCATGATTCAAGTCAGTATTTGTCTTTGAAACAGATTGGACGAGACAAGGCCAGTGCAACAGCCAGCCCTCGACGCAGTTTTGAAGTTACTCACTCCCTTTGTCACCACACGAACTATTAGGAGAGTGCGTGACAGTTGAAGAAGCCGAGGACACGCTGATATTTCTAGTAGTAAATTTACTGATATGAATATTGGAAGCGCGGCTTGATGCTTGAATTGCGGCCGAAGGCCCCCCCATGCAATAGCGATAGCCTGGCAAAAGAACACAGGTGGAACGGTCGCTCGCGTTGTACGAGAGAGATGGATTCCACGCAACAAAGTCGGTAACGTTGACTAGATGCATAATTGGGCAACTGTCAGTCTTGTGAACCACTTGTATCGGTTTGCAGGAAACTACTTACATGTAAAGACCCACGCAATCATGCCACACTGGTTGATGTCGGGACGCGAAGAATTATAGTACTGAGTAAAACTTCCACAATCTAGAGTTCCAGGCGCCAAAGGAAGGTCTTTCATCAATGTTGCTTTCGGGAAGGCGGCGGTGGTCTTCGTTTTAGGTCGGCCAACCGCAGGCCAAGTGAAGGGCTGCATAGTTTTATATGTATTTGTCCACGTGGTGACAAAACAGCTTGCGGGAGCATTCAGTTGATGGCAAGGGCCTCCTTTGGTGCCCATGCTGTGGCTATAGTAGAAGATGTGTGAGTATAAAGAAGACATCATTCTGCCGGCCTCCATAAAGTATAGGGAGACGTTGAATGGAAGAATGAAAAGCTGAGAGGTTGAAATGGATACTTACTGATTGTAATTGGAATACGTGGCGATATTGCCTACGGCTTCGACGCAGAAGTATGTATTAAGCCATAAATTACCACATGTGCTATTTATCATGGGATTTAGGAAGAAGAAGTCCTTTAGAGAAATGCCCATGGCCATGGATATGCTTGCGCAACTATCGCCGTCGACAGCCAGGTAGTATTTGCCACCTGGGAAGAAGAAAATAGTTGAGATGGTTAAGCTTTATAACGAAAATAGAATCAGAAAGCAGACTTACAGTCCGTTGTTGTATTTGTAGCCAGATTTGTAGGGATTGCTCTAAATAATGCACGGCTTAGTAAACCAGCGCGTGGGCGTATTACCGGCCGATGGAGAGTTTCAAAATCACACTTACGCTGATGGGGCTGTGATGGACTCATTTCCGATTGCAACGACACTTGGTGGCCCTAGGAAGCTAGAAACACAATTGAATGAGTACATGTTAACAGATGGTAGACCTAGATTGAGAAAATGAAATCAGTAAAAGAAAAGCCCAACAGTTACATACCTTACACAGATCTGATATCCAGTGATCTGGTTCAGGTTCGAACACTGCCGGTTAATGTTGGGATTCCAAGAGATCAGTTGAGTGGCAGAGAATGTCCCATTGTGGGCCTGGGCAATTCCGTAACAAGTGTCATTGCCCGCCACTGTGTAGAGATTGCAGCTTTGAGGGATGCACAAGTTTGTTCCCGTCCGAGGAAATTGCGAACAGTATCCAGGCAGGTTATTGGCTTGCATGAGATGAAACGTTGCCACCTTCTGGGACTCGCTGACGGACCTGCAAGTGTCGTTTTTCTTGATGGTATAAGTTGACTTACAGGAAGGTGTAGCAGCTATGGTAGTAGACACTCTGGTCGAATCGTGTTGCGTCGTCCTTGGCAAGGTATAAGTAGATGGAGAAGTGACTGGATATCTTGTAACTTTGCATCTATTGACTGGTTACTTGAATGATCTCTCTGTTGCTTGATCCACGGAAACTTACGAAGATGTCAGTGATGCATAATCGCTGGCCGCATCATCGTCATATCCAAATGGCGATTCTAGTTGAGCCTGCTGGATTCGCAAATTGCAGTCTGAACATAGCTGAGCAGAGGTCGCGGCTGTGGTATCATTATTCCACTCCCAGAAGGCTGGAAAGCAGTAATCGCTCGCAGTTCTAAACACTCATGTATAAGTTGAAATCGGTCCATTGCGATCGTCGCTGTACTCACAAACTCTTCATGCACGCATAGTTGTAGGTATATAAGAGAAGATCTGTAGTATACGTCGCAGGATACGCCAAACCCTCGATAACTGCCACGTCTGAGCTATTGCAAGCCTTGAGCTGCTTCGTCCGTAAGCTCTTCAGTTCGCTCAAACAGGCGTCAGTGCAGATCTTTGGGAGATCGTTCGCGGTGGGGATCAAGGATCCTGATGCGACACGAGAGAGGGCGAGGCTGCACGCAATGCTTTGGTTAAACGTGGCACTGTCATACGGATGCGTTTAGCGTTCTGAAGCCATGTTGTTTCTATCAGCGGGGAGTCAACATACCTGCAAGACGGCGAAAACTTTCCCGGGGCCTCAAGCTGAATAAGATTGGAGAGGACTTGAGAATGCACCAGCGAGTGTAAGAGTTAGCTCCATAGCTAACCCAAGTGTTAACCAACAGCTGCAGCTAGTCCCTCGAAACAAAGTTTTTCCCCTCTGTCGAAAGATGGTGAGCTCACTTACAAAGCCGTAGAGTGAGAGAAATCTTGAACAACGCATGTTGAATAATTCCAATTCACCTCACTGAGAAATGTTTACAGACAAGGGGGCAGATTTCGAGATGATTTAGGACAACAGGAGAGGAGCAGATAGAGAGACTGGTAGAAGATTTTAGATATGCAAGAGAGGAATAGATAGAAGAAATGTCAGACAAAAGCCAGAACCCTCGAAAAGAGGCAGACAAATGCTTGATTCATTTTCTTACGTCTGCTGATGCTGGTCCGTACGCTCATACTGGTTCGTGCGCTTGCGTTTGTTGTCGAAGAGTTTCGTATTACTGCAAACAAGCGACCGCAAATGATACAAAGCGCTCCGACTAGCACATGACAGCTGAGCATGCGGATATGGACATGGTAAGAGTGCCGGTAAGCTTGATGATAGCTGATTGCAAGTTTCACTTCGCTGCATCCTCCCGTAAAGCAGAGGCCGACCCCTCCGTATACGAGAAACCTTGCACGCTTTACAGCCCTTGAAGAAGTAAAGTTCGTTCAGATACACAAAAGGCTAATGATGGTAATAAAACGTGGCTACTTGCCTTGTGCTAAGATATACATTGTATAAGCAAGGTCCAAAATGCAATTTTCTACACATGCTTAGTTGTAAGTGTAAAAAATGCATTTGCAGCTGGGATGTCACCTTTATTTCGGTTTTCACAACATACCTTGTAATCAGATCAATAATCGTTAAGATGAGTTGCCTAGCATATAGCACAAATTCCCTTTATATCATAGTGAATGAACTCATCAACTATAGTGAAAATTGGCACAGTAACAGATGTAGAAGAACTTGATTTCGCCGCGTATCTATAACCGAGTATATCGTAGCAAATGATCGGACACCCAGCTATAATGCTCTAATAATCATAATATTATGAAACAGCCAGATTAAGCAATCTACATGTAGGCAATCTAACTAGACTGTTTACTGAATGACCTGAGACTCGAGGCTGCCCGTTGCTCTATTTACGGAGTTGCGTGCGCATCCTCTACTAGTGCTTATGATGAACAGTGCTAGGAAAACAAGGGCTATAGTCTAGATATGAGGTTTTTTACAGATCTGGCTTGAGCTTTCGGCGTTATCAATAGAAACAAGGTGCCAGATATAAGAACAATTGTTTGGTTATTTGAGGAATAGTACTGAATCATGACGATACCAAAGCAACCACCTGTGAAGCGGTCAAGGGCTTTTAGTCCGCGTAGAACTCCCATTGTCTCATCAGGAGTTCGCTAATGCAGAGTTCCGGCCAGCTGAAGGCCAAGCAAACAAACCGATATGTTTCCGGAAAAGAATTCAGGACCCTGACTCTGTTGTCTAGTACCCCAGCTACCTATAGTATAGGGTACTATAGATAACATTACTGCTGCTCCTACTACTACTACTGCTTTTGCTACTCCTACTATCTCTGTTAAATATACATAAAAGTTAGATTATATCAGGAGTTTACAAATTGACCAACTGTTATATTAAGCTAAAGCTGAGTACTGTAATCCAACTGGGGCGCTGGATAGCTTTTTCCTATATTTAGCATCTTAAGAATTATTTGTACGGAGCCGTGTTATCCGCTGTCCTTCTTTCACAATCCATGTCATCGAATTACGGAATAGTCAAGGTTTCCTGATTTGAGCCTCTGTCTTCCCGATCGAATTGATAGCCAGCACTCGCCTTTAGAATCTTCGTCTCCACGATCCATTTGACATCATATTGGCCGACGTGACAGGACTGAAAAGACGTCCTGAAACAAGCAAAGTGAACAGGCACCATGGATATCAATGTGCTCGAGCCAAGTCGTTTGTCACACACAGAACTTTGTCTCAGGATACGGCTTCAGGGCTGGAGTATTTGCCTCTACGTTTGCTGTTTCTCCTGGAATCCATAGAATGTTCAATAGCTTCGCTTCTGTGATAGGAAGAGTCTATTAGTTAGCTGCCATGGGCTGTATTTAAAAGGTCTGTATCTAAAATTCTGAACGGAGCACTAATAGCTTCTATCATCAATTTCCATACTTCTGTTGCTGAACGTCTTGAAACAATACATTCTCTTGTTTATTTATTCAGATCCTTCAACGCTACTTCCTGCCACTTGGCATCCTCTTTCAAGATGGATGAGCGGCATCGGTCGATTCGTCTTCGATATGCTCCTTTGCTGCCTTTCTTGCTTGCTCTTGGCCTCTTTCTGGCTTTTCACGTGCAAGTTGTAGGCTACATCAAGAGTAGCGTTGAATCTATCCGATTATCAGTGCCTAATGAGACGTATCTGAACTCAACGTTGGACGGGCCGCCACTCAAACGCGCCAGCACCGGTTATACATGCAATGCGGTGAGATAAATGTCTGCAATCAAATGGCTTGTATGAGTGGAATCGACCAAGGGTCGGTAGGCCTCCAATGTGGAAAGAGTATCTCCCTGACGACGAGCATCGTCTTGCCAGTCAAGTGTTTGCACTGTTGACGAATGACCATGATGATGAGATATCGCGCCGTGCAGACGTCCGTGCCAAAGCGTTTGAAGATGTTAAAAGAGAGCGATATTTAAAACTAGTTGAAGAAAGAGAAGCAGAGTCGACAGCAAAATGGGAGCAAGAGTTTAGCAAAGCTATCAAAACATCGATAGCCAATCGTCCTCCCACCAGGCTGTCGCCTGAGGAAAAGGCACTCTATTTACGCATCATAGCAGATCCATCATCTGCTACACGGGCTGACAAGAACCAAGTCTATGAGAAACCTCCACCTGACGAAGAAGACCGTTTGTGCAAAGATAAAGTTGGCATTACGATGGAAGAGCTCAGACACAAGGCGCTGTCCAATCCAGACACCCTGACGGAAGACGAGTGTGACATTCTCGCCTACGGGTTTACCAAGCGGGATGAATCTAGTGGCAAACCCAGTTTTTGGAAGTCCGACCTTGTTGAAGACGACATGGAGCTTTCCCGTCAAGTGGATGAAATCTTGTACACTCAAGAAGATATCGAGATACAGCGCCGTGCGCAACACCGCCATCACGATTTCGACGACGTGATAGAAGAGCGACGTAAAAGAAAAAGACAGCAACAAATCGATGAGCGAGCCGCAAAGATGAGGGCGGCCCAGCCTCGATGGCTTAATCACATGTCCGATGCAAAGTTGTCGCGATGGGGCTTTGTTGTTTTCCGGACAGCGTACAGCGAAGGAACTGAACATGAATGGGAAGAGTTTCAATGGGCTTATCTTTGTAATAAGGATGCACAGCTCTATAAAGGCTGGAGAAGGGCGTCCAATTTTTGCTCTCTTCATCAACCGCTTCTAGTCAGTGACTCATCACTTGAGGGAGCAGGTGTCCATGTTTTGCGGCAGCGGTTCAAGGCCATGCGAGAGCAGAGCGAGATTCCCGCTGGCATAGCGACAGATTGCTTTCTAATAGCGGATCAAGCGGCTCTTGACAAAGCGCTTCTCTCCTCAGAGGTCGAGTATCAACCGAAAGCTCAGGGCGAACCAGATCCATGGCAGTCTACATTTTCTATAAGAGCTGTTAATCCAGACTATGACGCTTCGATACCCATCCCATCTGAGGGAGATTTGGCCAGCTACGAAGGGGAGATTACAATCCCACTCCCCAAAGTCTTTGACTGGCTATACTACTGTTTCCTTGCCAAAAGCGAAGATTGGGAGACCAGATACAAATTGGTGAAAGGAGGCCCAGCGGAAATGATGGTCAGTACGATTCTTCCCCTGTTTGTTTCTTAGACTAGATATCTTAGCCTCACTCATTCGCGCCGTCTCATAAATACTAACGCTGAGATGCAAACAGAGTGAAATGTCGCCATATCCAGCATATCGTCCGGGAACAGAGCCTGCCAACCTTGTAGAGATACTACCGCCAGAGCCAGCTACCTAGACGCCATCTGGATGCTCACTCTATTTACATGTACTCTGTTCCGTCTCAAACTCGGATGGCTTCTTTAGCTTTTCCCAGCGTGCAAGCTTAGTATTACACATATACCACAGACACACAAGTCAGTTCAGGTGAAAGTGCACACGTAGATATATACTATCTACCTAGGTAATATCAATACATACAGCTTCCTTTCCCCTAAATCAAGCCGAAAGCGTCTCGTACGGCCACTATTTTCCAGTTCAGAGTGCAACATTTTATTGAAAAGTTAGTATAGAAAAGGGCGCCCGCCCACCCCCCCCCGGCTTTGTTTAACGCCGCCCCGGCGCGCGGCATCTAAAATGTCGTTATCGCTGAAGGCGCCCTGCTGCCTACTATCTAATCGCTGTGCTCACCACGGCTGGGGTAGGGGGGAAGGAGGAGAAGATGTCAGGGGAACGGGAGGGGGAAGGGGAACGGGGATGGGGAGGGGGAGGGGAATCGGTAACGACTGTGGGAAGAGGCGGAGGAGGAGGGGAACGGGAACGGGAACGGGGACGGGAACGGGGATCGGTAAGGACTGTGGGAGGAGGCGGAGGCGGAGCGGAAACGAAGATGAAGATGGGGAGGATAATGACCCCAGGGGGAGCGGGAACAGCCGTGGGAGCGGGGGGGGGGGGGGGGGGGGGGACGGTAACGACAGGGGGGGCACGCACGCGTGCATCTGCTCTGGATCTGGACCGACGCACCTCATCAAAATCGCCCCTCTGGCCCATCTCGGCATCTCCGCTTCCTGTCGTTGGCTGGTCGAAGATTTGTCGGAACCATCTTCGGACTGGTTCCTCTCCGGGGAGGAGGCGAAGGACGTTGACGGCGAGGTTGCAGAAGTTGATGAGGACGCCGGCCCAATCTGCGGCGATGGAAGACATAATGGGTAATGGTTATTGAGAAAAGATATGAGACTGGTTCAGAAAGGAAACAAAAATTAAAATGATGAGCGAACAAAGCAGGTTAAAATACTCATAGTTCCACTTGATTACACCTTCCCATGTCTACGTGTTATTCTTTTCATATGTTTTCAAAACAGACGATTAGGTTTATCTAGAAACCCTGTATTTATTTTTGTTTGTGTATACCCAGCAACTGTCACAGTAACCATGCGTCGTGTCTCTTTATTGTTCTCTGGGCGACCAACTCAGCCATACAATTCAGCAAGTACAGAGGACAGTTTATGAGACGTACCGGTAAGTCTAAGTATTTGGCCCCCTCCCCCCTCCTTCTTTTTTGGGGAGGAGATAATCTTTTGAGACCCACGATATCCAAAGCTTACGCAGAAATTTCAGTAACGGAAAAAAAACGAGACGCTGTTGCTTTTATGTAGAGTGCCATTATGCTCGTGTGATATCAGGCATTAGGTGACATTCATTAGCTCCTCCAACTTCCTGTGTAAATGAAACTTTATTGATGCGCCAAAGAATCTATGTCGCATATATCGCCTCTCTGTGTCCACTACAATAAGTATACCTAGGTACCTAAGAAGCCTTAGCATTTAGTTTTTGTGTAACTTTGCTTTCGGTCTAATAGGATTGACTAGAAGTGCCACTTTCCAGCCGGATAAATCTTATATAGATTGGCGCTTGTTCTGTGACTCAGATATGGACAGCATGAATTGGGCAATGTACTAACCCACACGTAAGTATTATAAATGGCTCATCAATCTTCATAACACTCTGTCCTTTTTCTCCCTTTATGTTTTTCCCCCGAGACACATTGAAATATTGACAAGAACAGAAGCACTCTCCGTCATGATTGTTCAATCCCTTGTCCGCCTTATATGGGGGAAACCTCAGACAAACTCCTTGATCCTTGAGCTACCGGTCGAGATACTTGTCAAAATATTGGCCTTCCTGCCTTACCATTCTCAGCTCCTTGTCTACCAGACCTGCCGTTCCCTGCGAGCGATCACTCACGAATACTTTTTGGCTAAAGAGGGAGATATAAGAGACCTAGCCAGAGCCACACGGGAGGAAAAATTGCCATACCTCACAGCACTCGCCCGGTATCTGCCTGATCGATGGGTTTGTGTCAAATGTTGCAAGCTTCATCACATTAATGGATGGGATACACCATTACATGACAGATCCCGTCATCTTTTGTGTCAAGATGGAATGGATACCGCTGAGGGATACAGAGCATGTAAAGTCGGCTGGCCTGGGTATTATCCAGATCATAGGCATGTCGAACTTACGCTCAAATACACGCGAATGGAAAATATAAAACGGAGGCATCAGAAGTATCTTCAAAGACTCCTTACACCACATCATGGCCAAATTAAAGGGATTTTTGATGTAGCCGAAGGCATCTCAGCGCAAATCTCGGTTTACCCTAAGGTTGTTAACGGAAGATATTTGCTGCTATCCATTCTGACTTACGTTGAAGGGCAAATCAAGGTATCTCAACAATCGATTCGGTTTCTAGAGATATGCTCGCATATTTCCACCTTGGAAATATGCGAACTTTACGGGATGAAGAAGAATATCGATGATGCTTTTGAGATAGCTCTATCCGCCGAAAATACTCAGAAGTTTTTCTCTTGTGGTTTATGTGGAACGGATTATTCGATACAAGCTTCGCCAGAGCGCTTCATTATATGCATATGGCAAGATTTCGGACCAGAAGGAATGATATATGATTCAGATTGGACAGCAATGGTGTGTGAAAATGGGCTTGTCTATCACAAATCTGGAAGCATTCGGAAGTTGTATGGTGCACATGAACACAATGGCGAGACCTATTAGCTAATCTACGGTATAATCTGCGATATTAATATGGCTACCGGATGATAAATTTTCTTTGGGTATTGCTACTTTCCGGAATCCCAAGAATAACTCTACTCCCCCTCCCAATCCTTTTCCTTTTAGCAAATAAATAGATAGACTTGCTGGCGGCGCGTTTTGTTAAGTGGCTTTTATACTAGCTAAACTTGAAAATATATAGCTGGACTAGTCGCCTAGAGAATAATAAAAAGTCACGCTCTGCAAGAGAAATTTTAATAAAGATATATAGTTACTATGTCTATAATTATCACTGTAATAATTACGAGATTAGGGGAAATTTACCTATATCTAATCCGAATTAATTACAGGGTTGTTAAATAAACTTGACTCTGCCTAGGTATACTACATTCCCTCGCCCAGGAGACTGATAACCGAAATTGCCCCATCATTTACGAGGAATAGTAGCTAGCTAGCTTGCTATAGTTGCATGGCATATATCGAGAACAGCTATATACCTACAGCCAAGAGCATAATGACACTCTTTGTAAAACCAACAATACCTCTGTTCTCAGTTCCCAATTTCTGATCAAGTTTTTGCTCCTTAGTATCTGTTTACTTCATTCAGATTTGCAGGAACAAAACGTGGTCACTATAGGAGCTCACCCCTTTCATTTCTTCGCTAAGTGAATCTCGCTCAGCATGTACGAGCCAAGCCGGGTACCCGCTGGCTTATAGGCTTGGCCTAAATAAAAAGAGTAAATTACAATCTACAACGAAGTCACTCATATGACAAGTTGAACTTGATATATGAATGGCATGATAAGAAGTTATAGATGGCATAGGCTCGGAAGCTTAGACGCACAAGTTGGTTCGGGTGAAAGTCCACATGCATACATTTACTATCCGAATAATATCACTGAAAGCAGCTTCTTTGTCTAAAAGCAGAGCCGAAGTGTCTCGCAAGACAACAAATCGCTGAGCGAGCGGCAAAGGTGAGGATTGCTCAGCCTCAATGGCTTAATTATATGTCTGAGGTAAAGTTGTTTTGATGGGGCTCTTTCCTTAGTATAAATGCTGCTGCTGCTGCTGCTGCTGCTGCTGCAATTATTTTTCTCCTTAGACTAGGTATCTTGGTCTCACTCATTGGCGCCGTCTGTACTAACAATGAGATGTAGGTAAACAGAGTGAAATGTAGTCAGATGCAGCGTGTCGTCTAGGTAAGGAACAAAGCCTGGCTTCTTAATCTACCTACTGGCTTATCCCAGCACGCAAGGCTTGGTACAAGGATACCGCATTCTCTCGCACAATTGACCAGAAATCGAATTAGCCCCCGGGGATCACCAATTACCAAGAATAGTAGCCAGCTAGCTCGCTATAGTTAACATATTTCGAGGTCCATATGCCCATACAGCCAAATCTTCAGATGCTACAGTATTCGGTCGCTGTATTATTGGTCAGACCACTTCGGTGATGAATAGCATAGAATTGTGACTTCGGGGCCGATAAGGCTGCGCCGAAGGGGCTGATCTCCGCTTTATTGCGTATTCACAGAAGTAACAAGCAACGGGTAAGAAGGGATATACAAGGATGATATGACTGAACTGAATCTCTTCATATGGTTGGAAGCGGCAAGTGGGTCTATGGAAGGCAAAAGGCAGGCCTATCTTAAGAGTAAACTTGGACATAGGTATCATCGTCTCCAGAGCTATTTCGATTATGGCCAGCAGTGATCAAAAATGCCGAGCCCGGCAAACTGCTAGCACACATCGCTGAATTATACACATACAGCAGGATAATCTTTTACTCCAAGTTACTGTGCGTATTTCTTCGACTGTATGCCCTTATTCACTCTCTGATACATACTATATCTTTCTATATCCACTTGACAGGATACAATTCCTGCGCACAGATTCCTGTCGGGCTTAATTCTTAACGCCGTAGCTGTTCCCTCACTGCATAGCTTGATATACGTTTACAAGGACGGATGTATACAGATAGGTAGGTACGCTGTTTAAAGGTGCTATCTATATCGGGCACGAATCTGCGCTGAGTACATGTTTTGGCTCGCCCCTTACGCGTTTTTCCACCGCACTTGCAGATGCTTAAAGCTGCTATTCCCACCAACCTGATCATCACTTTCATCAATTGAACTAGCAGCAAATGATTTCTGTTTGAATGATATCCATTCGTTTTCTTCGCGTTTAGCCGGCATTGACACAATTGGCAAATCTCTTATCACAATCTTTATGCATGTGATTTGACTGCCCCTCACCTCACTTTTCCTTTGACGCAAATACATCCATTGTTAAGCCAGCAATACAAGCAGCAACATCTCTGTCGACACTATCACAACACCAGAAGTCCAAGCAAAATGTCATGCCCAGATTGTTACAGTGGTGCCGTCCACGAGGGTCAACCGCGCGGAGAAGTCACCAAAGCTTACGGACTGGACACATACGTCGTCAATCCAGCTGATGGACGGCCTGCCAAAGGCATCGTGGTCATTCTTCCAGATGCGTTTGGATGGGATTTTGTAAACATCAGGCTGCTTGCGGATAGCTATGCCGACAAGGGAGACTTTAAGGTGTATGCTCCCGACTTTATGAAAGGTAAGCTCAGAGTTCAATCGCCATCCTTCATGTTAAAGGCTAATAGCTGTAGGTCACTCGGCACCATTGTACTTGCTTGACAGCATGAAGGTCATGGGAAGCGATGCTGGAATCTTTACCAAGCTGTAAGTATTAATCTCTTCATAACAACCTCATGATGAGAAACAAGTACAAGTATATCAGCGCTAAATTGTATTCCAGCCGACACCTGTTCCCTATTATAAGTGGTATAGTTCCTTTTCTCTGGATCAATTGGCCTTCCAAAGCATGGCCTCGAGTCAAGGGCTTCTTTGAACAGCTGCGAAAAGAAGAAGGCGCTTCGCAATCAGTCGGCGCTGCTGGCTTCTGCTGGGGTGGCAAGCAGGTCGTGCTGCTGGGCCGTGGCGATCAAATCGACGGGCGGCCGCTGATTGATGCTGGATTTACCGGACACCCGTCTCTCTTGAGCCTTCCCGCCGACATTAACGGCCTTACACTGCCAGTAGCATTTGCTTTGGCCGATCAAGATTCCAACCTTCCGGTTGAGAAAGCTGAGGATATCAGGACCATCGTTGAGGCGAAGCCCGAGTCAGCTCGAGGAGAGGTGAAGGTCTACCCTAACTGTAGCCATGGCTTCTGTGTTAGGGTAGATCAAAAGTTTGACGACGTTGTAAAGCAGGCAGACGAGGCGACTGATCAGTGCATTGCGTGGTTCAATGCTCACTTTAAAACTTCTACATAAGCAGTTCGGAGGAGGGGAGTCGTCTATTCGAATATTCACGCATATACACACATATTACTAGTACTCTTACCACACGCTACTTTTTCAATCAGCTTGATTTAAAGAGAGGTCACAATCTAGCTGACTTCATGACGACTTCTCGCGAAGACTGACTCTTTTCCGAAATGGATATATTCGAAATGTTTCTTAGCTACCCGGTTATAGATATTTCAAGCCACTAGCACATCGAGATGGTGTACTCTATTGCCGCCTTAGCCAATGAACTACTTTCGGAGCATCATTCGGGGATTGTATAAGCTGGTGTATATATCACGAGACTCCATATCATCAAAATAGGCAAGAGGTTCGGAAACCTAGAACGGCATATGCAAGACGAGGGATTATTATTACCGTCGGCAATTACATCAGCCATAGTTTGGTGGATGATGGTGTCATTTTGCATATTGCTCTTGGCGCTGAGGGTCTCGATCTGTCCTCTGGAAATGGTAAATTGATTCTACGCTGTCTATATAATGTAGAAAGCCCTATCGCCCAATTGTACAATAATAATAAGATTATAGGGGTTATTATACGCAAATTGACTTGAAATACACAAATCATCTCAAATATTCAGAGTTCGGCATGCCCTTCCATAGGCCCAGGGTCCGCGATGCGGGGAAGGATTTCGCGGGGAACAAATCTGGGGGATGTCGGCATTCAAAAGCCGGATGCAGGACGATCAGGCTTATTAGTAGTCGCATAAGGTATACGTGCAGTAGACTTCCAAAGTGGGCGGATCTATCATCAATAAATGAATACCGTCGGCTGATGTCTAATCTAAGAGCATTAATTTTATAAGCCCGAATATTCCTTGAAGAGCGTCCAAGGCAAATTGACAATGATAAATACCGTCCCGCTTGCCCTTTGTCCGTATGAGATAGTATTTGTCTTTATGTAGCAACAGACAGACCCCGGCGCATGAAGCTTACACCAGAAATCCAACTTGCGATGCTTCCATTGTTGTTATGCGCCACGGCCGCGGCGGCTGCCAGCGTCCCTGGCTTACGAAAATTGAGCAATCTAGTCACCTTTGGAGACAGCTATACAGACGAAGGACGCTTGAACTACATCTTCAGCCACAACACTCTGCCTCCCCCCGGTCAGCTATTGCCTGTGAATAACCAAACCTCGGTGGGCGGCTATGCCTGGCCAAGGCTCGTGGCGCAAAAAACGGGAGCCAAGCTCTACGATTATGCCGTCGCAGGTGGCATGTGCTCGGACAATGTTACCCAGCACTATCTAAGCAACATCAACGGGCCATTCCCGTCCATCCTGGATTACGAGATACCAGCGTTCGAGACAGATCTGGGGTACAAAGGGCTATATCCAGACCGAAGAGCAGATAACACAGTTTACGCGCTGTGGATCGGCACCAATGACCTTGGAATTGACGGGTTCTTGGGCGAGGAGCAAGTTCAAGGAGCCACAATCACAGATTTTGTGGAATGTGTCTGGAAAGCCTTTGACGCAGTGTATAAGCTGGGTGGCAGACAATTCGTCCTCCTCAACGTGCTTCCATTGCAATTTGGGCCTATGTACGCTTCCATTCCCAATGGCGGGACGGGCAACAATGAATACTGGGGAAATAAGGAGTCTTTCAACACTACAGAGACGCAGTATAAGATGGAGGAGTATCTGACCAGCGCCAACACCATGTTCGCCACGGGAGCGCCGTATAATGCACTCATCAAGAAGCGTTGGCCGGGTGCGACAGTCAGTCTTTTGGACGTGTACTCTCTATTGCTGGAGTTGCGTGCGAATCCGACCAAGTATTACACTGCGCCTGTCAATATTACCAGCTCGTGGAGGGGATGCGGAGATTCAGGCTGCTTTCAATCGACTGAACCGCAGTCGAATTTCGTGTGGTACGTGTACACCTACTTGTTCTATCGTGGTGCGAGGCACTTATGCTTATGGGTTCAATTCTAACTTGGACATAAACCATATAGGTACGACGAGGTGCATCCATCTGAGAGGACATGCGAATACGTAGCCGACGAATTCATCAGTCTTCTGGAAGGAAAGTCGAAATACGGCGTGTCGTATCACTAGTACGAACAATGGGCAGAACGAAACATGGCAAAAAGAAATTGGAAACAAAAGGATGGAGAGAAATGTTAGCTGGGACCAAACTTGGAAAACGGTTTTATAGCTAGTTGTGTATCTGTAGCATATAATCAGCCAGAGGTTGCAATGACGAAGGATATTACGTTGGCTTGCGGCAGATATTACTCTTGGATGTGTAAGCCTTTGTTTTTTTTTTTTTTTTTTTTTTTTTTTTTTTTTTTAAGAGATTGGCGCTATTACTGAGTGTCTTGAATCCAGCCTGTAAATACATGAGTGAGAGAGAGCAGCCCGGCCAAAATTGTACCGAGGAGCTTGAATGATCGTTTGATTGGGATGGCGGTTTAGATTTACCTACCTGAATAACTGGCGCGCATACATGTTTTGATATACCCTGTAACGATGCCCTATTTCGAGGATTGAGGTTGTACTGGGAAGCTGGTGGCTTACGGTACATGAGTTATGACTGTACCAGAGACAGCTCAGCCCATCACGGACAGGCCAAGTGCCTCATTCCATGTGACTGTGTGGTATTGATTCAGCGTTGCACAATATAGATAGTGGTCAGGCTGGATCGAACGCTTCGTATCAAGTCTACACTGACCTTACATCACTAACCTCACTAGCTGAGTTTTGTTCTGGCGTCTTACTATTACACCCGATGTATCTATATATATTTGCCTGACAGCTACTCTGAATACCTTCTTTTACATACACGCATTGAAGACTTCTCTACAGCCTATAAATCCTCTCGGCTGACTATTGCTGAAGCTGTAAATCTGCACGTACGTCGACGATAATCAAGATCCGGGCTTATTAAGCGAGGCACGGCCCGTGGCTACACTCGACTGTAGACTTACTCTACAATCGTTCTGATCCAATAACCAGTCGAAATTTCATCGTCCGTCGCCACCTATCCGCGCGCCAGCAAACCTTGATCGTCCCTCCCGGCCGCCTTTTTTCTTTCTCCATTGGCATCGGCAAGCTGCAAAAACACGACGCTTGGTTTACTGTTGAAAGTACAGGTAAGAACTGCGCCGTCTAGTCGCTCAATTTCTACTCTGCTGCTGTTTGACTGCACAGAGTGGCCTGAGAGGATCTCAAATGTTCACATGCAGGAATCGCATCTCCAACTGACTCAGCGACACTGTTAGCAGCGCCTAGACAAACACGGTGCCTGTGCCTGATCTTCCCCGTGGCCTCAAGACAGCCAGCCAGCAAGCAGCCAATACAGCGCAGATACTATTAATATCCCACAGGCTGGCCCTGGCCGCAAATCTGTGCAGATTGCTCTCCAGGTCCGACGATTGGATCGTGTGTGCCTGACAGCGCAACTGGAGCCAGCGACCCAATCCATCTGCATCTCACGTCATTCCGCGACTGCAGCACCGCCAACTAGGCTACTTTCGCGCTCCTCGACCCGCTAAGGCCATTTTCCATCTACAACATCTTCTCAGCCGCTCCGCGATCTTCAACCGCCCAAAACCGTGTCTCGTCGCTCGCCAGCCTCGACCTCGCGACCTCGAATTCGCAATCGAAACAGCATCCTAGCCTTTGCGGCTCGCCTGAGCAATCAATTGCCCCCTGCCAGCCATGTACTCTGCCAACTATGGCTTTGGCAATGCCGCGCCCAACTTCAACCCCCCGGCGGGCGCACAGCAGCCAGGAATGCAGCCCGGTGGAATGCAGCCAGGGCAGCAGGCCATGTTTAATCGGCAGCAGCAATTCGCCGGTATGACTCCCCAGGGAGTCTTCCCAGGCGCAAACCCCCATATGATGCAAGACGCCAGCGCCGCCATGATGCAGGGTCAGGGCATGCCCGGCATGGCGCCAAACAATCAGAGTAGGTCCTCCCGTGTCTTGATAGCACATTGGCGCCGGCACAGCCGTTGTGCGACGGCGTAGAGCACACATTGCTAACTCGTGATAGTGGCCTACCAGCAGCAATTCCCCGGCGCGTCATACGGCCAGGTGCTCCCTGGGTCGGTCGGTCCCCAAGGCTTCGTTCCCAATAACTACATGATGGGCCCTGGCATGCAAGGCTTCCCCATGGGCCAGCCCGGCATGCCTCAGCAGCAACAGATGATGCAGCGCATGCAGCAGCAGCAGCAGCAGCAGCAACAGCAGCAACAGCAGCAACAGCAGCAACAGCAGCAGCAACAGCCCCAACAAGCCCAACAGCAGCCTCCCCAGCAGCTATCTCAGCAACAGCAGAACCATATGATGGCACAGGTATCAACGCCTCAGAGGCCCCCGAGCACAACACAAGGAACGCCGACGAATATCATGCCTCCCCAACAAGCTCAGTTCTCGACTCCCCAGCCGATGTCTCAAGGGCAGACACCTACAACCCAGCACCAGCCGCAGATGGGAGTAGCCACTCCTCAGACGCCGACTTTTTCATCCAACCCAGCGAGCAGCATGGCTGCCCCATCAAGCGCGGTGCCAATGAGCCCTACAACGGAAAGTCTTGAAAAGGAGAGGTTTGCGCTCTTGTTAGACATCAACCACGAGCTACTATACGAGTCTATTCAGATCCAGACAACACAGCAAGAACTGAAAAAGGAATTTGTTGCTGTCAATGGAAACGTTCCCGACAGGAAGCCTACGGAGGAGGAGAGCCACTTCCAGCATGATTATCTACAGTATGTTTCACACGACAGTCAGACAAGCTCTTGTTCTAATTTACTAATGCGTCATCTAGTTGCATGCGACGACTTCAAGGAAATCTATCATACATGGCTGCCCTGGCCGATCGAAAACCAGATGTCAAACTCCCCCCGTGTCCACCATACCTTAGCGCACCTCCGCTCAATATGGCTCTGAAACTGAGAGCGATGCCGATCGGCGCCGAGAACTCGAGCGTACCAGTAGACCCCGTGGCGGACAGGGAGGAACGGTATAAATCGATTCAAGATCTGTACCGCCGACTACAAGCCGTCTTCCCCGAGCATGACCCAAAGAATGAGCCTGCCTACCGCACGTCAGCGTCTGGCCAGAAGCCCGGCAATCCAATGGCAGCGAGCCAACATGCGAGTCCGGCTGCCCAGAGAACACCCCAATTATCAAACATGCCAGGGCTACCCATGAATCCACAAGCAGGCGTGCCTATGCAGTAGGATACCAGTTCTGAGTTATGACTAAAGATTTACAGCCGCGGGGTAGGGCATATGTGCAGTATGACGGGATGGGGAACCAGAACCAAAAAAGAGGTTTGATGGCAGCGGAAGGGAACATGGCCTGCAATTTCTCTCAATTTCCTGCTGGCGTTTTCGATCTGCTTATTTAGAGGCGCGACTTGATGGTTTGACTATATGATATCATTTGACATTTCTTTCTCTTCTTTTCTGGACTTGCATGGCAAGGATGTTACAAGAATGCATATAAACTCACGAAGCATAAAAGAACAATCATCTTTCCGAGAGGAAAGTCTACTTTCATTAGATAGGCCTACTTATTTAACTGCCACCTATCTATGTAGTATTAATACACCTTGGCCACCATACTGATATGCGTTGGCAATTTGTACTCGGGATTCGTATCTTTCAACTAGCCATTCAAGCGTAATTTGTACAGGAAATGCTCTTTAAAACTTTCCTCATCCAGCCTGATGTATAATCTGGTGAAATGTGGTACTTTGATGGGCCGGCAACTCATTCTATTTTTACACGGCTTCATACTAGAACCTTGATATCTTTAGGTTCACGCTGTCTATTCAACCAATATCTGTTCGTTTCGATCTGGAAGGACAAGAGACTTTCATTAGCCGTAGATCTAGTTTAGAGCTTATCATGGGTCTCAGGAATGCTGCTGGATGAACTGTTGGGAAGCTGTTTCCTGTCTATGACAAACACTTGCCGCCATCACTATCATCCTTTACTTCGTATAACTGAGAACGGCCACAAAGAAAACTCCAGCACTGGAGACAAACGTTACAACCGGTACGGGCTAAAGGATGTGAGGAAAAGTTCAACGAGTCAGACATTGCATCGATACCAAAGCTTGTTTTGATCTAACCGCGTATCTGGGCGGAACAGAAAATCTCTTCACTGAGCCGAAATTGCAAAACCACCAATGTAGACTAGCCAATTGCTCGGGAAGCTCAAAACCGCAATATCTCGTACAACAGACAATTACACATAGCAATCAGCCGCTTCGCCACGGCACACTAGGCTTTGATAAGACCAAGTCCAGATTTGCTCGTCCCCAACCGCACCTTGATTTTCGGGTTGCTTTGATCCACAAGTGGGAAAAAAAGGAAAGAAAAAAAAAGAGGGATCTGCGGAGGCGTTTGGTTGTTCGGGGTGCTGCAACTTGAAAACCCCATGGTAGTCTCGTGACACCTGTACAACGTATACTGTTCGGTTATGATGGCATTCATTGTCAATTTAATGTATCCAATTAGCATACAAGATGCCATACTGTTTGCAGTTCCTCTTTGCTACTCCATAAGCCGCGTGTTGCTGAAAGCACATGGAAAACACGCCCGGATCTCGTCACCTCCATTCAGGGACAAAAATAATTTTCTGCTCGCCATGGAGGGGTCAACGTCCAGCCACTAAACAGGGCTGCTGCGGGGTCCATTCTAGCGCGTGGCCGCTGAATCAATACCACGCAAATGCCCTGCACCCATCCATCATAGGCAATATGGCAGCCCCAAGGCCGCCCAGTCATTGGCCCATCTCGCTGGTGGCGGTGGAACTGGCGCTGTGATCTCAGCTCCATTGGCCAATGGCATGGCTCAGGGCAACAGGCTAGCACGGGCGATGATGGCACTGGCAGAAAAAAAAAGTTGCTGGTGGTGTTAAGAACGTTCCGCTGGTCGGCGCTGAGATTTTTTTTTCTTCTTCCTTCTCTCTCCTCCTCAACTACGGCGAGGGCATCCTTCAAGCTTCTTTTTTTTCTATTCTCGACCTGATCCCTCTGAAGGACGCCTTCTAATTATTGTTGAGGCAGCAGATGAGCGCGAGGTAGCTCTTGACCTGCCCGGGAAAAGCTCTGAGAACGAGTTTTTCTTGTCAGTCGTCTCCAGCCGCCTTCGCCCCTCTTCCAGTTCACTCACTCATTGTTATTAGCAGAATCTTGCCCTACGTCCGGTGTCGGTAGCTGAATCTGGAGAAGAAGAACCTGAAGAACTTGTAAGACGACAGAAAAGTCCCAAGCTTCAGCTATTTTCACTCCTTCAGTACTCTGAACTTCCATCCAAGTCAGAATTTCCACGCTATAAACACAATGGCTGTCCAGCTACGGAAACCCGCTACAGCTAGCCATAGCGGCGATGAGCGGCCGGTGTGCCTGGAGCTTGAAGATGGCACCATCTACCAGGGCTTCAGCTTCGGTGCGGAGAAGAGCATCGCCGGAGAGCTGGTCTTCCAGACCGGTATGGTGGGGTATCCCGAATCTATCACGGACCCCTCATATCGTGGCCAGATCCTTGTCATCACATTTCCCCTAGTCGGAAACTATGGTGTCCCTTCGCGCGAGACGCTTGATGAGCTGCTTGGCGATCTGCCTGCCCACTTCGAGTCCTCGCAGATTCACATTGCTGGTCTCGTTACCGCTTCCTACTGCGGCGAAGATTTCTCCCACTTCCTCGCTACCTCTTCTCTTGGCACATGGCTCAAGGAACAGGGCGTCCCGGCCATGTATGGCGTGGACACCAGAGCCTTGACCAAGAGAATCCGAGAGAAGGGTAGCATGCTGGGCAAGATGAGACTTGCCAGCGCTACTGCAACGGCGGATAGCCTCGCCTCTCTCGATGCCTTCGAGGCAATTGACTGGGTGAACCCCAACACACAAAACTTGGTGGCACAGGGTGAGTTCCCCCATATGCCCCTCTTTCTACTAGATGTAAACCCAAAACATAAAAAGAAATATGCTCATGCCTTTCGTAGTATCCGTCAAGGAGCCTAAGCTGTATAAGCCTCCCGCGTCCGTCGTTGCTCGCCAGCATCCTTCCGGCCGGACAATCCGTGTTCTGTGTGTTGATGTCGGCATGAAGTTCAACCAGCTTCGATGCTTCCTCAAGCGTGGTGTCGAAGTCGTAGTCTGCCCTTGGGACTATGACGTGACCAAGGCGACCAGCGAGGAGTACGACGGTCTCTTCATCTCCAACGGCCCCGGTGACCCAGCTATGCTCGAGAGCACTGCCAAGAACATTGCTGCCGTGATGGAGCTCAACAAGATTCCCATCTTTGGTATCTGCCTGGGTCACCAGCTGATGGCCCGCGCCGCTGGTGCAAAGACCACCAAGATGAAGTTTGGTAACCGCGGTCACAACATTCCTTGCACAAGCATGGTTACTGGAAAGTGCCACATCACCTCCCAGAACCACGGTTTCGCTGTGGATGCCGGCTCTCTGCCTACAGGCTGGACAGAGCTCTTCGTCAACGCCAACGATGGCAGCAACGAGGGTATCATGCACGTTGAGAAGCCATACTTCAGTGTCCAGTTCCACCCTGAGAGCACCCCGGGCCCTCGAGACACCGAATATCTTTTCGATGTATTCATTAATACCATGGCCAGCTGTGCTGAGAACTCTGCTCTGTTGCAGTCTCCTGTCTCCTTCCCCGGTGGAGCTATCGAGGAGAACGAGAGACTTCATCCCCGTGTCTCTGTCAAGAAGGTTCTTGTTCTTGGCAGTGGCGGTCTCAGCATTGGTCAAGCCGGAGAGTTCGACTACTCTGGTAGCCAGGCTATCAAGGCGCTGAAGGAGGAAGGCATCTACACTGTGCTCATCAACCCCAACATTGCCACCATTCAGACCTCAAAGGGCTTGGCTGACAAGGTCTACTTCCTCCCCGTCAACGCCGACTTTGTGCGCAAGGTCATTCAGTACGAGCGACCGGATGCCATCTACGTTACCTTTGGTGGTCAAACCGCCCTTCAGGTCGGTATCCAGCTCAAAGACGAGTTTGAGAGCCTCGGTGTCAAAGTTCTAGGTACTCCCATTGATACCATTATCACAACCGAAGACCGTGAGCTCTTTGCTCGAAGCATGGACTCCATTGGCGAGAAGTGCGCCAAGTCTGCTTCAGCCAACAACGTCGAGGAGGCCCTCCACGTTGTCAAGGACATTGGCTTTCCCGTCATCGTCCGTGCTGCCTATGCCCTGGGTGGTCTAGGTAGTGGTTTCGCCAACAACGAACAAGAATTGACGGACCTTTGCCACAAGGCCTTTGCCGCTAGTCCTCAAGTTCTTATCGAGCGAAGTATGAAGGGATGGAAAGAGATTGAGTATGAAGTCGTCCGAGATGCTCAGGACAACTGCATTACTGTTTGTAACATGGAAAACTTTGATCCTCTCGGTATTCACACCGGTGACTCCATTGTTGTTGCCCCCTCGCAGACCCTTTCCGATGAGGACTACAACATGCTCCGAACAACGGCCGTCAATGTCATTCGACACCTTGGCGTTGTCGGTGAGTGTAACATTCAGTATGCTCTGAACCCCTTCTCCAGGGAGTACTGCATTATTGAGGTCAACGCTCGTCTGTCTCGATCCTCTGCTTTGGCTTCCAAGGCTACCGGTTACCCCCTGGCGTTTATTGCCGCTAAGCTGGGTCTCGGAATTCCTCTCAAGGAGATTAAGAACTCGGTGACCAAGGTCACATGCGCCTGCTTTGAGCCGTCCCTCGATTATGTCGTTGTCAAGATGCCCAGATGGGACTTGAAGAAATTCACTCGTGTTTCCACCCAGCTTGGCTCTTCCATGAAGAGTGTCGGTGAGGTCATGAGCATTGGTCGCACATTCGAAGAAGCCATCCAAAAGGCTATCCGAGCCATCGATTTCCACAATCTTGGTTTTGGCGAGACCAAGGCTCTCATGAGCATCGATGATGAGCTGCAAACACCCTCTGACCAGCGTCTGTTTGCTATTGCCAACGCCATGCACCAGGGTTATTCAGTCGACAAGATTTGGGAGATGACCAGAATCGACAAGTGGTTCCTCCGGAAGCTCATGGGCTTGAGCGACTTTGCCAAGGCTATGCCTCAATACAGCACCGCCGATATTGCACTCAACCCCGGCATTCTTCTCCAGGCCAAGCGTCTGGGCTTTTCCGACCGACAGCTTGCCAAGTTCTGGAGCTCAAACGAGATTGCTGTTCGCAGACTCAGA